TCTGTAGACTTGTCCCAATCAGACAGGGATTTATTAAGCCGATTAAAACTACAAAACGGATACATACTGTATGTGAAGAAACCTCATCTAGAGGGTTAAGGGACATCAAGTAAAAGACATAAAAGTAAATTTCGGTTTGCAAAAAATGGAACTGCAGAATTTGTTTTTCTTATAACTTAATACTCATTGTACCCATGTGATTGGCCAAACAATAGTCTTCGCGCTCAATCTAAATCTTAAAGTAACGTCTTCAATATTACGATCATTTCAATTGACCTGTCCACCTAGTGATCATAAAACTGCGACCTCGATCATTTGTTAGCACAAGCATACGATACGACGCATCGTTTTTACTAAGCAACGCACCGCACAAACAATTCCCTCCTACAAACGTTCTTTTGTACAAATATTGAAAATATCTTTTATCACAAAAACACATACCAAAACTGATTTAGTCCGAGGTTTATGTGATAACATGACCCAACCAGTGTTCTTAAAACTTAACTGACTCGGCGTCAAAACAAAAATGAAAGGTATTTTTGTTTTAAAGCAATACGTAGTTAGTAGGTAGGTTTTTTTTTTTATTTCTTCAATATTTACGGATGAAGGGTACTAAAGACAGTGTTCATTACCTGTTGCTGCAGATGCTGATAGTGTTGTGCTACAAGGCGGATCCCGCTAATTTCCAAAGAACGTGGATCTAACGACCTGCTGCGCGGTTTCTCCGAATAAAAGACGTCCTCATCTCTTTTTCCCTTTTTCCATCTGAAGTAATTCGCCATAATGGCACACTGTTCACTAGCACATTCCAAATGTTACGGGTGTTCAGTCGAATAGTTCGGCGGCGCTTAAAAACGTTTTTACCTATACACGTCGGTGTCGGATCATGGAAGCATTTCTTTTGCTGCTGAGATAACGTAGCCGTCACGAGACGTTTTGTAATTATGCAATATGAAAACGCAAGCGACCGATATCCGAAGCAATAAGTTAGTTTCTGTTACGGGACCGAGATACGCGTAGTGTATCGCGTGTCTGGTTTTAACTATTCGAAACTACCGCAACATATAAGATTCATATTCATACAGACGGCATTTACTTAAAAATATTTCGTACATCTTTAACACTTTTAACACCTTTTGTCGTTTAAATCGTGTCCGCTTAATTCGGTCGAAACGAGCGCGTATTCTCGGCGCGGCGTTTAAGTAATATTTTCCGTATTCATTTAGCCTCGATTTATCATGAGCGATTACCGTGCGTCGGTCGCACGATGCGATACGCTATATAGTCTTGTTTATTTCTTAACGTTGTATAGGGACGTGCATTATCAACACTGTACGTTCTGTTTATGATAACGGGGTCTAAAGAATAAGAACAACGGAGTTAGTCGTAGCAACGTACATTGAATTGTTTGTTACAGCTGCTGCGCTCGAATCCGGTGTTTTAGAGGGAACAATGGCACCCTGCAGTGAATAGCACGAAGATAAAGTTACAATTTCAACGAGGAATCTTCATAATGTATATAAATCGTATTGTTTGTTTTGTATTATAATTAAATTGTTGGTATTGTAATAAAAATATTTAAAACCACTTTGTATTTATTGTTATGTTCTTTTTTTATTTTTTTATTGCCTAGATATGGGCTCACAGCCCACCTGGTGTTAAGTGGTTACTGGAACCCATAGACATTTACAACGTAAATGCGCCACACACCTTGAGATATAAGTTCTAAGGTCTCAGTATAGTTACAACGGCTGCCCCAGCCTTCAAACCAAAACGCATTACTGCTTCACGGCAAAAATAGGTGGAGTGGTGGTACCTACCCGTGCGGACTCACAAGAGGTCCTACCACCAGTAATTACGCAAATTATAATTTTGCAGGTTTGATTTTTATTACACGATGTTATTCCTTCACCGTGGAAGTCAATCGTGAACAATTGTTAAGTACGTATTTCATTAGAAAAATTGGTACCCGCCTGCGGGATTCGAACACCGTTGCATCGCTATATACGAATGCACCGGATGTCTTATCCTTTAGGCCACGACGACTTCTAAAATGTATGAATGTAATGTATGTATTATTTTATAGGCTTCATTGCATAATACTTCATTATTTTATATCCAATTTTTCTAGTTCTTGGACAGTACTAAACAGAGAGTAAGTATATTCAGTACAAGCAAAGAGATTATTAATTTATTACATTCTACCACACGACGGATGTAACCAATTGAGAGCCTTAAATCAATTCGCAAGAGCACAATATTATATAATCGGAACACGAATTGCTATTGCATTGCTAACGATGTGAAGAACATTTTACAGAAAGGCCCAGTGGCTTTTGCTTCTATACTATCCTGAAGATGACAGTGCTTTATAAACCATAATTCTTTAGAATCCAATTAATATGCAATTCAAAATATTGTAAAAGGTAAAGGTGATAAGACTACTATTTCCGAGTGGTTAACCGATATTTTTGACTCAAAAATGTAAAAAAAACAAGAATTTAAATTCCTGACCTACATAAAACCGCAATATTTTATACAATGACGTCAACGTTTTTGAGCGCTATCCAATATTTACACAATACGATTCAACTTGCATAAAATACCCTTCATCCTTTCCCCCTTTCCTTTCCTATTGTTTATTTTTTCATTTTCGGTTCCCTTTATTTCAATTAAACGGTGTATCTGTCCCAATAATAATAAAATTCATATACAACCTTATCACCGCTACTATTCGTGGGAAGGCTTATCGTGAGCCGAAACGGGTAGGTACCACTAAATCCGCCTATTTATGTGTCGAAAAAATTAGGGCTATTTAAAAAAATTCAACAGCTTTTCTTTTCTGTACAATTGAGAACTTGTCTTAATGTGGGTGAATATTTACTGGTGGTAGAACCTCTTGTGAGTCCGCGCGGGTAGGTACCACCACCCAGTCTATTTCTGCCGTGAAGCAGTAATTCGTTTCGGTTTGAAGGGTAGGGCAGCCGTTGTAACTACAACTTAAGGAAATCGAAATTCTAACTTTAGCGTCCCAATACATTTTTGAAAATTTATTGTACGTGCGTAAAAACATTGTAGAATTCCCCAGAGTCTGCGATTTGCATAATGTGAACACTAGGAACAAACATAGGCTTGCGTTGCCGGCGGCTCGAATTAAGAAAATAAGCAACTCTTTCAGGGGGCTGGGTGTACAACTTTTCAACAAGATCCCACAAAACGNCCCAGAGTCTGCGATTTGCATAATGTGAACACTAGGAACAAACATAGGCTTGCGTTGCCGGCGGCTCGAATTAAGAAAATAAGCAACTCTTTCAGGGGGCTGGGTGTACAACTTTTCAACAAGATCCCACAAAACGTTCAACTACTACCTGTTCATAGATTTAAGAAAACTGTCAAGGAACGTTTGTGCAACAAGGCATATGTTAAGGATTTTTTACTAGATGGCACTACGTGGGAATGAGGCGTTCGCTCCTGGCCTTTTCATTTTTCATTATTATTATTATTTATTTGAATTGTATTTTTTTGACTTGTTTTTTTGTATACTGTAAATATGTTTTCTTGTTTAAAAAAAGAAAATAGTTGAGAAAATACAAAAAAAAAAAGCCCGCTGAGTTTGTTTCGCGGGTTCTTCTCAGGACTGTGGCTTTTTTTGGAACCGGTGGTAGAGTTAACATTTTCTTTTACATTTTGACATTCAACAAGTGTGTTTTTGATGACATCCAAGTTGAAATAAATGATTTTGAATTTGAATTTGAATTTGAGTGAGACCTTAGAACTTATATCTCAAGGTGGGTGGCGCATTTACGCTGTAGATGTCTATGGGTTCCAGTAACTACTTAACACCAGGTAGGCTGTGAGCTCATCCACCCATATAAGCAATAAAAAAATATTTCAATGTTTTCGAAGGCAGACCGGCTGACGGTCTACTCATGGTGAGTAATCATCGTCACTCATAGCCATGTCAAGGCTACGACTAAGCAGCAGTCTACCACTGAGAAATATCCTCAATCTTGAAGGACTTATTACAGCACCCAAGCAGTACCCTGTAGGGAAACTAAGTCCAGAACCGGATCATGAGTGACAAAAACGTTCTCTGGGATTGCTTTGTGGATAAAAGTTAAATGATATACAGATAATAAAACCTAACTCTGCTCTGATGGGTACTAGTGGGCACAAACAATTATTCAGGCGAGTTCCCATGGTATGGCGAAGGTAGTCTTTCGGCATTTGTGGCGGTATTGCGTTAATACACCTAGTAAACCTTGAACTGGTCTAGTCAATCCGTTATTTTTTTTGTAATTAATAATTGTGACACCAAAAACTATATACTAACATAATAAGACGTACTTTGAATTACCTTATTGCCACCTGCGAATTCGTTTTACTATCAGTATGGAAAACATTACAATAGTGGAGGCTAGTAGCATTCAAACAGAATCTAATGATTGGTTTACTTTCAGACACTGTTACCGGTTCGTGCGGGTCAAAGAACTGTTATCAATTCTTCTTCAAAACCTACGAATCGAGGGTATTTGGTTTATTCATAGCAAATACATCATAACAGTGCTTACTAATCTAAGCAAGATTAAGGGTTCGTGCTATCAGCTCTTACACACAGACTATACAGATTTACAATTTAATATGTTTAAAACAATATGCTTTTACTGGTGGTGGGACCTCTTGTGATTCCGCACAGTTAGGTACCACCACGCCGCCTATTTCTGCCGTGAAGCAGTAATGCGTTTCGGTTTGAAGGGTAGGGTAGCCGTTGTAACTATACTGAGACCTTTGAACTTATATCTCAAGGTAGGTGGCGCATTTACGTTGTAGATGTCTATGGGCTCCAGTAACCACTTAATACCAGATGGGCTGTGAGCTCGTCTACCTACCTAATAATAAACATAATAAAAAACGAAAGAGGATTTTAATAAATCAAGCAAGCTCAAAAGACCATTTCTTGTATTCTTTAAAAGAAATCAGAATCTCGTGTATGTACTTACCGCTTTTCTTTTTTCGGCAGCATCCGTTGGCGGAGCTTGACCCGGGACGGATGAACGACCTCGAAACATTTCCATGACCTTCGCCATGGCGCTAGGACGTCGGGACGACGATGCCGTCAATGTGTGGTAATACTGTTCACAGCACAAAAGAACATAAAGATGGCTTCGAATGCACAAAAAAATCTCGTTAATTCTATAATTTTTTACGAATTTATGTTTTTTTGACATTTTTGTGGATTGTGAGTACAGTTTTTTTATGAATTCATTTAATATATTAAAACGTTTTGTATTATTTATTATTTTTTTGTGTAACGAATTTTAATTCTACATTCGTTCGTTTAGATACTAGCTGAACACATTAAAAATTATGGCACTACAACATCTGTGGATTGGTAATTGAAGGGGTTGGAAAAAAAATCCTTTTACGATAGTTTTAATTTTTCGGATATCAAATTTAGCTGGCCAGTGTCGATGAACTCTCGACTCATGTTTAGCTAAGCGATTACTAAAGACTGTTCTTACTATAGAAATGATCCTATTAAGTAAGGTCTTAAGGTCTTACTAAAAACTGTCCGATACAAATCGATGCAGAACCAATTACGTCACAGAGAAAGTAAACAGCAAAGTCCTAACACGATTGTGTAGAACTATTGTCCCATTGACTAAAAACACATTGATAAATATAAATAAAATGATTTTATAAAAAATAACAATGAAGTGTAATATTGATCGAGTCGACTCTTTCTAGTAAAGAACATGTATGGAAAATTTTTCAGTGTACGGCTTGACTTTATCTTGACGTCGTTTGTATTTCAGGGAAAAAATATCGCACAGTACCATCAAATAACGAGAGGAGTGCGCGTGTAATTTTATCAAAGAATGTTTTGGTTAGTTAATTCAGTTCATAGTCACAGCGGAACGGGCATAGTTTCACTGCTATGAAACAAAAAGGCCAGACTTCTTTTTTTTATAGTTAATATTTTCGAATGATTTCTGTATTCGCGATATTATTACATAGACTATAAGTGAATTCAGGCAATGTCGAGAGCTTGTTCAAAGTTTGAATTGCAATAGAATTACGGCTTTTTTAGAACGGAACTTAGGACATTTAGGAGCTGAGCATTGCCCGACACTAAGACACTTGAAATATTTTGTGTTTTACTTTTTTTGGCTTAAAACACGCTTTATCTGTACTGACTCAAAAGACGCGTTACCAGTAAACGACATAGGAATTAAATACCGAAGTAAAGTAAGATTACATACCCTTGTATCGCTTCCGGCATGTTTGTGAGCTGATCCGTCTCTCACTTTCACCACTGGCGTGGTGCTGCTCGTGGAGGCTTCCGGTTTGGAAGGTTCTTGTTTAACTTCCTTAGTCGAAGAGCCACCAGATGATTTGGTAATACTCTATTTAAAAAAAATAAACAACACGTTAGGATACCTAAAAATCGCGTAGATCCCGAAATTTACAAATACAACAAGAAATTAAAAATCATCATCATAAGGAGTAAAATGTGAAAAGGACGTGTTTTGAATCGGCTTTTTTAAAGCGTTCTTAATAGAAATCGTTTTGATTATATGAGAACATTTAAAGTTTTGTTTATGATTATAATAATAAACAGACAACTTTTAAATCATTTAAAAAAAAGTATAAAATTACAAAGAATCTTAATTCAAACAAACGAACATTCATATTACAAAGCAGTTCCATTACTATACGAGGGCTGCACTAAAAGTATCGGGAATGGAATATTTCCACTGTTCCTGTCATATTAAAATCTTTTTAATTGAAAACTCCTTGGTTTTAAAAATAGAATACCATTTATTTATTCGAAAAAAGATTCTCGGTCTTGTCACGAGGTTTTGTCAAACTTGTTTAGTCGTTGAGAAAATGGAATTGACTCGAGAAAATTCAAGAGCGATGATTTATTATGACTTTCGAAGTGGTTTAACACAAAAACAGTGTGTTGACCGGATGATTTCTGCATTTGGTGATGAAGCCCCATCCAAAACCACAATTTATCGCTGGTTTGCTGAGTTTCAACGTGGACGTGTCAAGCTCAGTGATGATCCCCGTCAAGGTCGTCCAAAAACTGCAGTCACCCAAGAAAACGTTGATGCTGTGCGTAAGCTGATTGAGGAAGATCGACATGTGACATACCGCGAAATTCAGGCAACTTTAGACATTGGCATGAGTCAAATACAAATAATCTTGCATGAACAATTAGGTGTAAAAAAGTTGTTTTCCCGATGGATACCGCATTCGCTCTGTGAAGAGCAAAAAGCGGCTCGCGTTACTTGGTGCGTCAGAACTCTCGAAAGATTCCACGCAGGATCCTCAAATGCTGTATACAACATTGTATCAGGTGACGAATCCTGGATATACGCGTACGAACCCGAAACAAAAAACCAGTCACGAGTTTGGGTGTTCGAAAATGAGTTAAAGCCAACAAAAATTGTTCGTTCACGGAGTGTTGCAAAAAAAATGGTGGCCACGTTTGTCTCCAAAACCGGCCATGTTACGACTATTCCTCTTGAGGGACAAAGAACGGTTAATGCAGAATGGTATGCTAGCATTTGTTTGCCACAGGTCGTTTCTGAACTCCGTAAAGAGAACTGCAACCGCCGCATCATCCTCCATCACGACAATGCGAGTTCTCACACCGCGCACAGAACAAAAGAGTTTTTAGAGCAAAAAAACATAGAATTATTAGACCATCCGCCGTACAGCCCCGACCTAAGCCCTAATGATTTCTATACTTTTCCTAAAATAAAGAATAAATTGCGTGGATAGAGATTTTCATCACCTGAAGAAGCTGTGGACGCCTACCAAACGGCCATTTTCGAGACCCCAACTTCCGAATGGAATGGTTGCTTCAATGATTGGTTCCATCATATGGAAAAATGTGTCAAATTTCGCGGAGAATACTTCGAAAAGCTATAAATACACTTTTAAATAGTAATGTTGTGTCACTTCGTTAATTCCCGAAATTTTCAGTGCCGCCTATGTATAAAATTTAACAATCCTAATATTTTAAGTGATACACAATCTCACAACTACTGATGTCATGAGACTGTTTATTTTTTTATTTTGTATGCGTTTGGGTGGTTCCCTGCATGACTTAGATTCACAAATCAGCCCTGTAGATGGCGCTGCAGTCGGTATCTAGGTTATTTATCTATAGGTAAAGTAAGCGGCTGGATTGACTTGATAATTTTTTGTGTGTGCATTAACAGAACAACGTCTGTCGAGTCCGCTAGTACTCAACATATTAAGTACGTAATAACACCTTTTTAAAAAATGATTATGTTATAGAGCAGTCTGTGGGAATACGGAAGTTCATTCAAGAAATTTTCTTTTTTTTTATTGATTAGATGGATGGACGAGCTCACAGCCCACCTGGTGTTAAGTGGTTACTGGAGCCAATAGACATCTACAACTTAAATGCGCCACCCACCTTGAGATATAAGTTCTAAGATCTCAGTATAGTTACAACGGTTGCCCCACACTTCAAACCGAAAAGCGTTACTGCTTCACGGCAGAAATAGGCAGGGTGGTGGTACCTTCCGGCGTGGACTCACAAAAGATCCTACCACCAGTAAATGTGACCGTCAACTATTAAATAGTCCAATTCCAATCAAGAAGATGCATCGTGGAACTCAAGAATTAAATTTACACACCTGGACGGCAGCTTTGACTTGCTGCATGATTGATGATTGTTTCTTCGCATCTCCGGTTTTAGGTTTCGATTTAAATATATCGAACAATGCCGGTCTGCGACTGACCCCGGAGGTGCCTGAAAGACAGAAAGAAATAAATCTATTAATGTAAGGGATCTCACGAGCCATCGGATTGCCGAAGCCCTAATATGATTTGACATCTTAGTCTAGCCTACTGTTCTCTCATCTCTATCGCATTTTAAATAACCCAAAACTCGTATTTAATGATCCACTAGAAGAAAGTCTTGATTGTATTTAACCCACCGGAGCTATTCAAACCGAATATAATAATTAATTCAGTGACAAAAAGACCTTGTTCTATCCTTACTATGTGCATAGTGTAGTTTATAGCTAATTATAATCTAAACGTCAATGTCACTGTCAAGTTGCTCATCTGTCACGAGTGTCGCTGTCAGTGTTCCGAGCCTCAAAATATTTCAGCATATTTATTTATTTCTACATTTTTCAGCATGAAAATAATCACAGAATTCTTTATAGTTTGCAATTATCGTTTCTATCGCGTAAAAACCTTGTCTTATATATTTACCAGATCCCATAGATATTATGCGGATCCTATGACCTATTGAGAGACACGAGTCTTAAATATGGCTATTTTTCCTCTTACCTATTCGCTGGTAGCCTAAGGGCTATTCCAGCTACGCCCGGACAGGTAAGTGAGCTCACTGGCTCAACCTGAGAGAATTTGCTAACACTAGCCATAGCAAGAGCAGTGCTTCGCAGCCTACCAACGGATCGGAATCGCGACCCACTGCGAAGGTCCGGCGAGAAACTCAGTGAGCCGCGTCTATGGGTTAGTTTGTTGGTCGAACTCTTCAACGTAATCGACGGGTTCGACGAGGAAGTATTGCTGTATTTCGACTGTCCCACCCTTCAAAACCAAAACGATACACGGCAGATATAGGTATATAGACAGGATGACAAAATACATTAACCCTTTGACCTCGAATGGCGCCGATAGAGAGTATGACAATTTACAACAATCCTAAACAACTTTTATCCTTACCGGCTACTTTTACTTTCACAGTAACATCTGTTTCGCGTTTCATAACTAAATCAACTACCTACACATCGAATATCAACACTATTAAATTACTTCCCAAAAAATAATTTTGACTGTTTTTTTCTATTTATAAATAATAAATTAGACCGAAAATAAATCTGCAGCACGTTAGCGACACTTCGCAACGTTCGCGAGAGAGCATTCTTTAATTTGGCACGTAGTGTTAAGGCCGTTTGATTGATGCAAGTGGATCTGAATGGTGAACAACAATAAGTTAATTGAGAATTACCATGTATCGTTTGTTGGTACATAGGGTGGGGTTGTCCGTCATCGTTAGAACCTCTGCGTTTGCGTTCGCCTACTGACTGTGAGCTGCGTGTGATCGCAGCATCGAGCCGGTTATCTGGAAACGAACAAAATTACATTTGTTAAAGATATTATTCTAGCCGTGTTTTACACATTCGTTCCCAATGTTTTCTAAAATAGTTATCTCGTTTAACTTTCTGATAAATTTGCTGGTGTTAGAAACAAGAAAATGTTCTTCAGATGATGACATCGTTAGCGTTATTGAACGGTCGTGTGGCGGAAAAATGTAGCAATGGCCTTTAAATCCATTAAGACATAATAACTGTGTGTTAGTGATTATTGGAGCCGATGAACTTGAATGCCGTTGCATACTTAAGGTCCAATTCATTTACAATATACTTTAATTTATATAGAAATATAAGAAATCATAAATCGGAACGTTTGGATGTTTGTTACTCAATCACAGTGGACAGAATGAAAATGACAGTAGAAGCGTATACATCTCTACATACATAGATGATACCTTACGGAGTTCGAAAATAGTAGTGTGTGACAGTGACTAACAATTTTAATACTAAAATTTCATCTTAAATTGATAGCATTCACTATTTAATTATTTAATTTAAATACAAAGTCCATTGTGGAAATACACATGAATCTATTAATACTCATGAACGAACAAACAACGCCACATTCATATAGTATTGTTTTAAAATCTATTGACAGTCGTAAAGTTATAACGCATTCACCGATTTTAGTATCATATGACCTATTATACGTGGGCATACCGAAGATTGGTGAATTCGCGTTGCAAAACGAAAATTTTTACACAAATTGAAAAATGCTAAAATAATTTCGAAAAGTTTTTTTAAACAAACACTAGCAAATCTTACATTCATTTTTAGTTATTCAGTCATTAAGATATATAACTCGGAACATTTGTAGGACCACTTTCCTGTCCATCTGTCTGATGCTTAAGATTAGATAAGAATCCATTTATCTCAGAAACGCGTAGGGAATCAAGTTAAAATAGGCACTAAATACTAAGGTCTACGGCAGAAGGAAATGCTAATTAAACTCTAGCTTCACATTCAATTCAATCAAAACATAACCAAATTTTCTCACTAAAGAAATCCTATGGAACACTATAACTTAGAATGACCACACACCTAGAGGGTAAGGCTTGTAAGTACTACTTTTGTACCTTTAGGTATGTAGGTTCGGTAGAAAGAAGGTTAACGCAACACAACGTCTGAGCATCGGACCTTAGGTAGCAATCCACGTTGAAAGTGTGTCATTACAGAAATATGAATATTTATAAAAAAAATACTGGTGGCACCTCTTGTGAGTCCGCGCGGGTAGATACTACCACCCTGCCTATTTCTGCAGTGAAGCAGTAATGCGTTTCGGTTTGAAGGGCGGGGCAGTCGTTGTAACTATACTGAGACCTTAGAACTGATATCTCAAGGTGGGTGGCGGATTTACGTCGTAGATGTCTATGGGCTCCAGGAACCACCTAACACCAGGTGGGGTGTGATTTCGTCTACCCATTAAAGCAATAAAAGAAATAAAAAAAAATCGAATAAATATCTTATTTTTCCCTATCACTGAGAACTTAATGAGCTATTCCAGCTACGCGCAGTTTGGTAGGTGGGCTCACGGGGCTCAGCTTTGGAGGACTTGCTAACACTAGCCCCAGTAAGAACAATGCTCCGCTAAATCTACCACGGGATTTTATTTATTGGCCTTGTAGGCAGACTAGCATACGGCCCACCTGATGGTGAGTGGTTACCGTCGCCCATGGACTTCAGCAATGCCAGGGGCAGAGCCAAGCCGCTGCCTACCGCAATCGTAATTTCTATACATAGATATGATAACACTCTGTAACTTATAACGCTCACTCTATAAAACATCAAAGCGCTAGTTTAACTCGCACTTGATCGGTTGCTTTCACGTTTTTGTTTAGCATCGAATTCCAGAAAATTTAGGACTTGCTTTGTAAGCAATTGTATTGTTTCTTGTATGTGTGGCATAAATTACAGAATATTGATGAATTATACGTAGTGTATACGTAATAAAGGTATCACGTTAACAATTTTCACATATGATACAGACTTAAATCGCGCAAACAGTAGGCATACTAATTTATATGTAGCATTTAATACTTCAAAAGTCAGAAAACGTCGAGTCCATTTTATAGGATTATACTCAAAAGAGTTTTACTAAACATTTTTTTAATAAACAAACACATATTGGTTTTTTACTGGTGGTAGGACCTCTTGTGAGTCCGCGCGGGTAGGTACCACCACCCTGCGTATTTCGGCCGTGAAGCAGTAATGCGTTTCGGTTAGAAGGGTGGGGCAGCCGTTGTAACTATACTTGAGACCTTAGAACTTATATCTCAAGGTGGGTGGCGCATTTACGTCGTAGATGTCTATGGGCTCCAGTAACCACTTAACACCATGTGGGCTGTGAGCTTTTCCACCCACATAAGCAATAAAAAAGAAATTTAATATTTATTTTTCTTCCTTATATTGCATGTTTTATTAGAAGATAATGCTAAAATTACTGTAATATGTTTTTTTTTGTACATTTTGAATTGCGTTTCATGCACAAATGCATATTAGATTCATAGAGACGTCAATTATTCTGCATTAAGATTGCGTAACTGTGTCATGATCTACATAGCAGTTTGCCATCAACGATCGTTAAAATACACATACATGTTAGGTAAATAATAAGACATAATATAATAATATAAGATATAATAAAAGAAGTTAGAGATATGTTAGGCACCGAAAAACAAAACAAATACAAGTTCAAATTTGGGAACAACGAGGCAAAAATATGCGTATGTTTTTTTTTTTATAATAGAGGTTAAAATATGTATGAAATTGCCGTTTTATTGTAATAGGTACTTCGAATTGACATAGAACCTTCCTTCATGGTTTGAGATTTTTGAGTAAAACTCTTTTCAAATGGTACCTATAAGGTTCTGCTTTTAAAAAATGTGCAACATTCGATTATCGACTTTCAGTTGTTTTTTTTATTCAGCTTAGACAAGAAAGATGGATACTTCAAAAATTCGAGTGATATTAGAATACGAGTTCCGATGCGGAACTAACGCTACAGAAAAAGCTCGCAATATCAATGTTGCATTTGGAGAGGGGGCTGCTAATGAACGCACCGTGATTTTGGTTTAAACGCTTTTGTGATGGAACTTTGATTTGCAGAACGAACCACGTGGAAGACCGCCCACACATGTGAAAATGAATTGAAAGAGATGGTGAAAGCCGATCCGAGCCAAACTACCCAGGAATTAGCGGCATGGTTTAACGTTACCTTACCAACAATATTGAATCATTTGCGTCAAACCAATAAAAATAAAAATAAATGAAAATGGGTACCTCATGATTTGACTGATCTGCAGAAAGAAACGGGTGTTGAAACTTGTGTTGCGTTGTTGAATCGAGACAGAAATGAAGGAATATTGGATCGAATGTGATGAAAAGTGGATTCTTTACGATAACCGTAAGTGTAAAATGCAATGGCTGACCCCTGGTCAAATGCCATAGCAGTATCCTAGAGCAAAGCTTACCAATAAAAAGTTGATGGTAACTAACTGTTTGGTGGTCTCAGCAAGGTGATATTCACTATAGCTTTCTCCGATAGCAAAACTTGCAGTGAAACAGGGCCGACTCATGAATCGATCTTCACTATTATTGCTCCATGATAACGCGAGAGCTCACACAGTACAAGAAACCGTTTTAACTCTACAGAAACTGCAATTAGAAACCATTCGTCACCCTCCGTATTCGCCAGACCTTGCTCCAACGGACTACTATTTTTTTGTGATTTGGACAATTGTCTACGTTATAAAGGCTCGTTTTTAAATTTGAGGTCAAAAGCGAGTTATTTGATTTAATTGTCATAACAATAATGTTACCGTAATAATAAGTACAGTAAATTTGTTGTCATGACAACAGGCACGTGATATATCATTCTATATTCGTAAACACTATTAAATTATGAGTTATACATTAAAAACTACCCCAAATCTCATTCGAATCACCCGTTCGAAATTCAAATTCTAAAGTTAGAATTTGAATTTCGAACGGGTGATACTCATAATTTAATAGTGTTTACCAGTAATGTGTGCTGAAATTCGGCAATTTTATTTAATCAGTATATAATACAATAATAAAGGAAACCTATCTGGATATTAGAACATTATTAAAAACAAAAGAAGTACGATTCCTAAGATTTAAAAAAGTTCCTATTTAAATTGTCATTCGTGTTGGCGTTATCAAATGCGTAACATGAAAAATATAAATGAATATAATATAATATTATGAATGAATGAGTGATTGCCTTGATTTTGATGAAGCATTTTTTATTCTGAACATGCCTAAATACACAAAAAAATGGGAAATTAAAAAAAGTTTTAATTCATGAAATCGTTAGTTTTTTTACGACCCTAAAAAGTTTTCTTCCCAGGAGGCAGTACAAAATGCTTTCACACGGTTTGTAGAATCTAGATCACCAGAGCTCTATCGCAAAGGCATAAATGATCTTCCTATTAGATGGCAGCAATGTATAGATAATAATCGTAGATATTTTGATTAAATAAATATGTTAAATAAATAAAAAAAAACGAATTTCAATTTTTCAGTACAAATCAGCAATTTCATACTTTAACCCCTATTATTTCATATTCACCCACAATGTTACGTATATGGTATTGGCACTTCACGTACAGTCTTACTTGCAATTTCATTTTAAGATTGTGACGTCACACAGTACTTGAGCACTGCATCATTATGAAAATATTCATTTCACATCATGTGATACAGTGCTATAATTAAATTACTAACTAAATTAACCGTTACCAAAAGTATTTCTATAAGACTAGCACGGTGTTTACTGAAGCTGTAAAGATATAAAAATAAATATTAAAGATCAAAGTACATTACGTGTGTATTTAGTTGTGAAAATTCCCGCGTGCAGAATGCTTAAAAAACAAGGTCTTTATTTTAAGCGGTTAACCACTCCATAAATAACACACTTTATGATATCAAGGGTAGATAGATATCTGTCTATAACCAAAATAGATTACGTTCGATTAAAATTAGAACAGGGTTCTTAAAATAAGCAACCGCAGATACAACCCAGGACATTTGTACTTGGGCTGCTAATGGGCGAATTATTTTAATTGAAGTAATAAGTAATCTGTATTATTATAATGACAGGAAAACGCATTTTAATCTCATTACGTTTATGATATGCTTACATTGATGTTAATTATCATAATTTATGGGCATATCACTTTTGAAATATCAATCAAAATAAAAGCATTGTCTTATTGACGATAATAAACAAAACATATAATTGAGAACTTGTGAAGTTTTCGAACCCTAGAACAAGATGGTTGGCACAATGCCAGTAGCGTCTAGCGTTCGAATTGAGAACGTAGCCACACTCCTGCCAAACATTGAAAACAATCTACAACTTCGACGATAATAAATATACATTTACTAACTGCGAATAGTCAGAGAGCCAATTTTAATATTGTCAGTCGTCAAAATAGGATATTTTTTTCACTTAATCGTACTCCGTTCGTATGACACAATTCGAGCTTCAATAATATTTCACAGTTTTGGGCATACTTTGGTTAGGAAACCGCAAACAAACGATGAGTACTCGTAAAATTTCAATGCGAGTCAAAATATAAATTACTATTGAAACCCGGTCATGCTCCGCTATGAAATATTATTTTATGAAATATATTTTTCTTCATACATATGCGCTACCTCTCCCACACCGATTGTACTATATTACAGTAAAAAGCCAGTGTGCTATTCTGATATATACGCTTACTAGCTGCCAACCGCAGCTTCCCGTGTTCCCGCAGTTTTCCGTGGGTATGAGATGTTTTTTTCAGTATACTTGCTTCGTTTCAACGGAAAAAAGGACAAACAAACATTCTGAAGAAACATTCAAAGTCCATCCAGAATTTTTTGGTGAATAAGTAACAAACATCGCTCCATCTTAGTAGGCTAGTGGCATCCTAGATTATATTATTAGGATATTGGAATATGTATATAGTATTTATTACTATGTTAATTATAACTGTTACTCACCACGTTTCTGTCGCCTTTCATCACTGCTACGCCGCAAGTCCTTCTCGCGACGATATTGAATTTTATTCAAAGCATCTTTTTCTTTGGGCGTCATACGAAAACTCCAAGTACCAGACCGAGATCGCACACTCTCCGTGCTCTTATCAGACGTCTTTGAATCACGCATTTCCGTTTCATTTGTTTCAGGCTTTTCATTTTGTTTTTCTGTATCATTATTAGTGATCGAAGCTGGTGTATCTTGTATTATTGTTTGTTTTATTAACGCAGCATCCTATAAATAGAAACGAGACAGTTCTTATGATGCAACGTACGAAATGAAAAAATGTATTTAAAAAAAAATCACTAGAAAAGGCAAGCTTACCGTCTTATCCTCAGTTCTCTTAACCCATATATCTTCGGAGCTCGTGGGGATTTCGTCGACCGTACTTCGAATTTCTATCAAGCTACTATCAAAATAATTTTTATCACGATGGAGATTCTGTCCTGTAAAAATAGATCGCATACTCGGTCTCTGTTCTTCAGCACCCTTAGTCCCGAAATGTACAGTGTGAGCATTGTGTATATGAGAGCGTAGTGCCCTTTCAACGGACGCCAGGGGTGGCTCTGTCGTTGTTACTAGAAACTTATGTTTCGCTCCCATAATAGTTCGGTTTAAACGCGCGTGGTCATCCTCGTTGTCATACAAATCATCTGGTGACTTATCTTTCTCCGCGTTACTGCGCTTTACTTCGCTGCCATCACTTAAGCTAAGTTCTTTGGCCAAAATATCTGAAATAGACTGATGCGGCTTTCCCAATTCTATCTCAGAAAATAAAATAGGTGCAGGCGGATCGTTTTCCCTTTTGTCGTCTTCTTCGTCTTCTTCGCGGCATTGAGATAGACGTCGACGCTCAGTATATGGGAACGGTGAGTTTGGAGGTATATTTCTACTTGAAAGATTATTACAATGGTTCATAAAATAATGTTGGAAGAAACTATCAGTCTCTGGTGTATCATTATTGTCACCCTGTATGATATCCTTGAGCGCTGCTAATGACGTAATGGTGTTGTAGTTTATAGCATTGACTAAGTCCTCGCTGTCGGTAGAGCTCCCCGACTCACTACCATTACCGTCAGTCAGCCTGCTGGTTTGATTACACATATTGTCCAATTTTAAATCCGTATTGGTTGCTTCCATTTTTTCCTTCTTTTCATTTTTACGTCGATTTTTTTTATGTTTAACTTTTAAATCTTTTTTCCTATCGGTATCCATTGAACAACATGTGCCCTTCCTGACTAAGCCAAACTTATTAAGTACTTTTTAGGCGGTAAGTTTCGTAAGGCACTAAAGTCCGTTTAAAAAAAGTATCACACAGTCACATTATAGTATATAAGTTTGTATAAAATTAGGTGATGTCGTCGTTCCTCCCGCGGTTTTCATCATCTAAAAAACGCCATAGTACGGCTTGATCGCAAAGTGTTTTCAATAAACATAATATTTGGAATCTGAAATCAAAATTTATACTGACAATCACATTTTGATTAACTTTAAAAATTACAGCAAATATATTTCTTTAAATCTCTCACGTAATCTTGGACATTAAGGAAATATAAATTAAAAGTACATGTCAGTACATATTTGTTACAAGGTGCGCTATACTCATAGGATTAACTAGACCACATTAAAATCATCAGGTCACGTGATTGTTGACGTATACAATATAAATGGCCCATTGAAATTGTCGAGTTGAGAATACAATAGAGCACAATTTTCCGTTATAGAACAATCCTATTTCATAACAGCATCTAGGTTCCGTCGTGGTACTAAAAAATATTACATAGACTACATGTATTCATGAAATAGTAAAGAACATAGACTGGTGTTTCGACTGAAATCTTATACTCGTTTTTTTTAATTTGGTGGCAGACTGACCCGTCTCGGTTGAACGGGCGCATACGTAGGGGTAGGATGAAATCCGGCGATTTCCTCCTAATCCATTTTTTTTTACTTTCATCCAACCATTACAAATAATATTTTACTTCGTCATGAAACAACAATTGCGACATCAGTAGAACAATTTTGTTATATAATCGAAAGGATTAATATCAAATTATATGCCAAAATTAACTGTTTTATTTTAAGGAAAACATCCAATAATAATCTAATATATAAAATTCTCGTGTCACAATGTTCGTTCCCATACTCCTCCAAAACCGCTTGACCGATTCTCATGAAATTTTCTATGCATATTCAGTAAGCCTGAGAATCGGCTACTATCTAGTTTTCATACCCCTAAGTGATTAGGGTTGTCCACCCCTAACATATTTTTTTTATTTGGACATTTTTTTTGTTATAATGAAGTATTATGTGGTTGAATGAGGTTTTGTTATTTTAATTATATATTCCCTCATCGTTCACAACACTACATACCTCTTTCACTCATTTACCACATCCTTACAAACTTACAATAAGTTAGTTTTTTTTTCTACACTAGAAATTCTCTAGAAATCTTATATATGGCAAAACAATGTTTGCCGGGTCAGCTAGTATATAATAAAGATAACAAAACTATGAAGCTTCACTATAAATATTATTTAAAAACAATTAACTTTCAGTCGTCACATTAACAATCAAGTGATGCCTATAAAGATTTAGAAGGTCATTTATTTGTATAGGTATGATACTCATTCTTTTATCGTTCTAATTTAAAGTTTGAATCTTTTATCTAAACATATGTAAAGTCAAATGTACTTTTATAGCACGAGGTTCGCACTAGTGCTCGTTTTTGGTAATCTGTTAACAATGTGTTGACAGTTTTAATGGCATGGTTTACTGACTATTGCACATGGATCTCACAGTGTTCATTTGCTATTATAATATAAAAAAGGCTAAATAAAAAGTGTTATGTACACAATACACACTATAAAGTTGATACGTTATTCATCAAACTATCAAACTCAAAAATAATTGAGCTTCTTACACTAATCAACATGTTCACACACACTATTACATAAATAAGTATATTAAAACTTATAATACTGCATTTGTATGAATATCACACAATCAAAATAAGGTCCCTGTTAATTTAAAATTTATTAATAGAAGCACAAACGAACAGCATCATCACGATCGGGTCAAATAGCAGAATTAAATACATTCACAAGGACACATGATGTAACTACAATTACGATAGTCTTCCTTCCTTGTTATAAATTCATAAATGGTACTTTATCGGTAATGATTTATAAATACTTCGGTGGAATGAGATAAATGAGAAATGTTAGGAGATACGAAAAAGCTAAAAAAAAAACAATTACATTTTCAGTACATAGAATGATATCGAACGCAGCCAGCCACTTTAATGAATAGTGGAAAAATTACGTTACGTTACGTCAAGAAATTATCTTAATTCGTTATCAGATTGTTATTTTTGAACAATAGTAACGAAAGGTCAGTCGATAAAATACGATAATTGTTAATATTAAAAGTGAAATCAATTATTTTTTTACATTACGTCGATTCTACAGTCTTTACTACGGTGATGATGGTACTTTATCGCGACCTATTTAGGGCACAATCACTTTAAGATAACAGTTTCCAACCGGAAGAATTTCAGATATTACAATTCATCGGAACATATAATTTACGGTCAAAATGATACAAATGTATGAATAGCCTATTTAAAGTGTTTAAAATGATTATACATTTTTATACTTTCAATCATTGTCAATTTCCTCGAAGTAATCGCGACGCACTTTTAGGTAATCATTACAATACAGTTGAGGTTCGCGTTGGTTATTTACGCTGCAATGAATGTTTAAGGAAAATTCCATCTTATATTGATGTATTTAAAAACAATTGTACGTTGTATTTAAGAAACAAGACAATTAAGGAAACATTAAATGGACGTTGTTTTCTAGTTGTTAGGTGAACCATGGCGTAATAGGTCCCGACTGCATGACCATTTAACATTCCTTACAACCGAACAAACGAACGGTAAATTTAGTGTACCTATCGAATTTAAAAATAAAACGTAATTTACATAATGGTCTACGTCTTACGGCCTCGAAGGTCGGAAGGAATGGAAGGCGTAGAAATCATTGTAAAAAAAATCTGCTGCTTATTTATAAACATGAACAATTTGAATAACCAAGCCTGGCACCAAAACGTTAGCATTATAAAAAAAAAACTGAACGATGATATGAAACTCCATTATCTGGCTTTCCTTACTACCGGTATGTATCAACTAATGCGTTAATACCCACTTTATGGTTTGCATTATTTATTAAGAACTTGTTAAGAAGAGCAAGGGTAATTTGTTTGCTCATTCACACGATCATAGATATAAACTACATTTAGTCACGACCAAACTGAATCAACGAAAATACGTATATACACATAAAAATATGTTTTACTGACGTAATAAACTTTTCAGACATGCAATAAGGAATCACGAGACCACTGTTTACACTTTCAACTATTACATGAGGAAAGTAAAATGTTCACAGCTCTAATCATACGACTGTTTTTCATGGACAAATAAACCGGTTCATATACTATCTGCAATTTGTTACGAAGGATTTTAACGATGATGATTTCGAAGGTTGCGAAAATATTTTGTTTTAACACGTCTTATTAGTTGAAATAGTAATTTTATCTAGATACTGAATTTTACTCTCTTCTTTTTTACCTAAATTCATGAGGCAACTCGACATGAACTTAACAATCTCAAAACCATATTAAATTATGTAAATTGAATGAATTTGAAATATTGTTAACTAGCTGACCTGTCGAACTTCTTACCGCCTAGCAATCAATGAATGCCGTGTTACAGATTAGCTGAACTAAACATCACTTTGCCACTAAGAAAGCACAAAACGGGCGTATCGTATCTTGCTATGTTTTCGTCAGTTTACAGAAAAAAAAATTTTAAGGACACGCAATTTAACAACCAATACATTTCAATCCTTTTTTATTACTGAATTCTTAAATATGCCATTATCCGAATATTGATATACCTTGTCGATTTGAATCTGTTGTTTAAATACGTTTTATAATTTGAGGGTAGAATTTACCGTATCACCGGGATTAAACATTTGACAGTTATGAAACCCATGACCATTTTGCATGGGAAAATGTTTTTTTAGGGTTAATCAGTGTATTATATTTTTAATATGTGATCTTATAGCTCATTCTTCAGTAACTAAGTAAACCTTTGTAGTTTGGACTGGAAGTAGTTTTTGGAAACTAGTCTACTTTGGGTTTATTAGATTTATCTTATTAATTATATTTATATCCTACTAGCGACCCGCTCGCGCTTCGCTTCGGAAACTGTAATTTATTATTGATTTCTCCACTATTTAATGGATGTTATTATACATATAATCCTTCCTCTTCAATCACTCTATCTATTAAAAAAAACCGCATCAAAATCCGTTGCGTAGTTTTAAAGATTTAAGCATACATAGGGATATAGGGACAGAGAAAGCGACTTTTACTTGATACTGGCTAACAGATGAACGAAATCCTCTACTAGAATGGATGTCATGCATTATCAAAATTTTGTAGCTTCGCTAAAACTTTGATACATAAAAACCCTTATTATATATGAGTTCAGAGAGATGGATATTTAACTGTAATCATAGCTTAAATAAGCATAACTTACTTAGCAATCTTTGCACTGATTGGCTAGCCTTCTTCTATTGTGTTTTTGAAAGATTCTCCTAGCATGAAATACATATTATACTATGGACACTAAAACTTAATATTCATATACAGAAACATAAATTACATCTAAAAAAAATAATCAAAACAGCTCCACAATGCATGCAAATATACCTTTTTTTTTAACACTGGGGAATCCGTTTACAGAAAATATATATATAAAATATACAGATGCCTGAAAAATGTTAACATGGTGTATTTTTAGAACAAATCAATATAAAACTTACAATACTGTTACAAGCAGAATCCAAGAGGATCCTGAAAGTACATACATATTGACAATAAAGGTTGCTAAATCAGAATAAATTCTGAGCCAAAAATCCAATTTTGTTGGAAAATAACATCTAAATATCTCGGATTTCACCAGCCTCTGATGATATGTTATTGAAGTATTACTCTTCACTAGATAAAGGGATGTAGTGAGTCAACAGATAACTATGCAATCAACACTATTCAACACTCTTTCAAAACGTTTGATATTTAAGAGTAAGGCCAAGGTCCATAATAGCCTTAAGCCTAGCATTTAAGGTACTTCATGTTGTTTGATGATTTGAAATAATTGATACAACCAGTTTATGGTTAAGATGAAAAAGGAAATCAGATTCAAAAGTATATATGAACACTAAAAAATTTAAGTATAGGCCAATTAAAAAGTTATAATTTTAGTGTTCCCTTTAGATATATTTGCTGTTAATTAATATTTCAAGTATTCAAACCAGTAATCTTCAATATTTTTTGACACTGCACACTTTTTAAAATTGCAAATGTGATGTCACACAGAAAAAAATATATTATTATGATGATAAAAGTTATTTAATTAAATATTTATAAACCATGTAAAACAGTATAATAATACTTTTGTATATAAAAAAATAAATTTCTGAAAATATGGAGCAATATTCTGAACCTGCATACATGCTGCTGTTATAAAGTAGTCACAGCATTAATAAACTACCATTTTGTAAATACATATCCATAAAAAGGGAAAAACAAATCAGTTAAGTACCAATGTATCTTGTTTGCCAACTAAATATCTATTTTTTGGCACAATTTTTTTGAAGTTTTCCATCTTCTACATTTACAATTTTCTTCTTTCTTCTAATTTATTAATTTTGTGTTTTATGTTCATGCCTATGAATCCTAGTTTGTAACTTTAACTCTTAAAGCATAACTGAATGTGCAATGGACATTTTTCTCAAACACTTGAATCAATTTATTATTTAGTATTGTATAATAACATACTTCAAAAACTACTAAATGTTTCATGTAGTGTGTAGTTAATGTTTAATAAATTGCAATTAAAATAAACTAAAGAAACTCAATTATATAGTATTTATCAAACTCTGGTTTTATATTTTCATTCTTGCTTTCTATCATATAATTTTATACCACTTTCCTTAAGCTGATTCCTAACATAAATATAAGATATTGATATTACACTTACAACTTGCGCAAATAATCAATAACTATAACTAACTGTATTCAATGATTATATGCAGTAAGCGAGTAAAACTTGTTATTTATTGTACACTTAACATTAAATTAATAACTAAACAAAACCATAATGCCATTGAATAATTAATTAAAAAACAATAGTCAAAAAATTTTGGAGAGCATTAGAAGGAAATATCAATTTATTTATTGGCACAATTTTTAACAGTTTACACCAAGTTATAAGCCAAAAAATTGAAACTTCATCTTCCAAACAAATCGTAAACGCGCGCACATGCCTATTGTTTATAATAGCAAAGTTTTATACGAAACTTAAAATTACAAAAACTATATTTATTTAGGATTCTTACACTTGAATTTTATATTGTCCAAGAATACGTGGGAGCAGCCGCATCTATGCGAAGCGAAAAGAAGACGTGACCAAATAAATGAACCACACACCGTAAACACATCAAAATCATACACTCAGTAATATCCGATAATTTCACTTTTCCCAACAAACCATTGTAATTATATTGTGGTGATTTAACTTATTTAGATGCGCTATAGTTTTAGGAAAACGTCGATTAATTTGTGAGAATCACTCACTCGAAACACTTCGATCTACCTTTGACAGTTAATTATTGTACAACATTTACTTTTCTTTCTTAAAGATTGAAGATTAATATTAAGGGCCCGGTAACGTGACCTTTAAGCCAACAGTAATTGCTACTATGGTGCATATATTTTTTGTTTTCTTTTATCCATTTGCTGCTAATGGAAAATAATACTTGACCATATACTAAAAACCTTTGTAATTATATTTTAGATGTGGAAGGCAGATTTCGGCAGAAATAAGGCGCACCATCTCAGTGTATTTAAAAAGTGTCCCCTGGAAGGGAGCCAATTAAGGTGATGCCATTTTGTCTGTTTTCATTGCTTTGACCGGAGGTCGTAGCCTATGGGCCACGACGATTTCATAGTAGCATAGCCATAGTAGCAAATGAAAAGATTTTAACTACCATATTTCAGATCAACGCAGCACACTTCACTTTTTTATACTCTTAACATTTCCAGTTCCTACACTAGCACTATTTCAATTAATCTTCCAACAATAACTTGCTATTTAGAGCCTGTAAATTATAGGTGGACAATTTTTCAACTTGTCCCTTAAATAAGATGGTGCTTCTTACATATATTCTCCATATTTTAGAATGTGAACGTTTGTTTGAATGTTCGACGGATTTTTATCATGGATAACTTAAAGTATATTGAAATAGCGTAATTTCTACAATAGAGATAAATATTGCTTCAGGTGCTGCACATAAAAAATATAGCAGAACAGAGCATTTGAGGTACTGTCTTGCACTGATAAGTCTTATCGACTCTTTTTGATCATAAGACCAATAAAGGCTTAAGTTACTATTTTTTTTATTTTTAATGTACAAACACACTAATTTTAATGTTAATACAGTAAATTATTTATGAAAGACCAAGGTATTATGTAATTACTAATTAATATTATTTAGGTTTTTTCGTCAGATTGATCTGATTCAAATCGCAAAAGAGCAAGCAGGTTTTGTTAAGGGTCGAGGAACCAGAGAGCAGATCTTAAACATAAGGCAGTTAATCGAAAAGGCAAGGGAGTTCAACGTCCCGATGGCTCTCTGCTTCATTGACTACGCCAAGGTTTTTGACTGCATCAACTGGAAGAAAATGTTCGACGTGATGCAAGAGATGGGAATACCGGACCACCTCGTCTCCCTTGTTCAGACTCTATATATGGATGGAATTACGAGAGTCAGAATGAACAATGAGTTTTCCCATCAATTTAAGCCCGAACGTGGAGTCAGACAGGGGTGTATACTCTCCCCACAACTCTTCAACCTCATCGGTGAACACATTATGAGGCTCGTTCTGGAGAACTGGGAGAGGGGTATTCGTGTAGGAGGCCACCGAATTAATAATCTTCGTTTCGCTGATGATACCACTATAATCGGTACCTCGGAGCGAGAGCTGCATGAGCTTCTGAGGAGAGTGGAAGTCGTTAGCAAAGATTACGGACTTTGCATCAACCGATCCAAAACGAAATTGATGTTTGTCGATAGAGCTGGCACAATGACACGCACTCACGAACTGCGTGACCTGGACGTGGTGCAGGAATTTGTGTACTTGGGGTCATTAATATCCAGTGACGGTGATTGTGACAGGGAGGTGGTCAGGAGGGCCCAGATGTCAAAATCAGCCGTGAAGCGATTGGAGAAGATTTGGAGAAATCGCAGCATAAACAAAAAAACTAAGATAAAGCTCATGAGAACCCTTATCTTCTCCATATTCTTGTACGCTTCTGAGACGTGGACCCTCAAGGGCCGTACCCGATCGAGAATTGACGCATTTGAAATGTGGTGTTGGCGCAAAATGTTGGGCGTATCATGGACGGAGCGCCGAACAAATGTGTCAATTCTCGAGGAGCTAAACGTCAAGACCCGTCTATCTACAATCTGCATGCAGCGTCTCCTCAAGTACTTCGGACACGTGGCCCGACAAAATCCTGAGAACTTGGAAAAATTAATAGTTGTAGGTCACGTGGAAGGAAAGAGAAGTCGAGGAAGATTGCCAACCAGGTGGACGGACATTATCAAGGAGGCCACAAACACCAGCGTCCCGGGCGCCATTAAGCAGGCCGAATGCAGGCAGCATTAGAGGAAGCTGGTGCAAAAACTGGACCAAGGTGGTCACGACCCTCAGTAATGAGGAAACGACAGAGAAGAAGAAGAAGAAGATCTGATTCGATCTCGATTACAAATAGCCTATATTCATTATCGACTAATAGGTGTTGCGCTATCTTGATAATACCAAATTCAACATGAATACAATTTACATTTTGCTAACGTAAAAATAACTGCTGCTTGAACATGACTCATCATCATCATCAGCCTACAGACATCCACTGCTGGAGATGGACAAGCCTTATGGTTCACTGCACTGATCGATCCTGGACAGCCGAGCAACGTCCTACTACTGCCACTAGAACCTTTAGCTTTGTAAGTTACCTTGGTTCCTATGTATGAAAATTTCTTCATGTCTGATTCAATCTCGCAGGGAAACTCAGAGGATAGCTTTGAGCTACACTATCAAAGATAAAATTTATGATCCTACATAGTACATTGGGATTCTGTAATCTTCTCAGTAATAAGATAGCTAGAAATAAAAGCGGTCACGCTCTTTTTTACTACCTACAAGGTTTGATCAAGACGCGGATAGTTTAACTTAAGCTTATAAAGTCATGTGGATACCATTTTCGTAATATTTCGAACCTCTGATTACGAAAAACGTATCGAAATAATAGATGGCGGCTTTAATTTTACTTTTAAATTACTTGAGTAGCAGAGTTTCGTGATTTCTCGAGGTGCTGATTACATAAATTATATCTAGGTAAAATACCATTTCGTACAGACGCTTAAAAATTAACAGAGCACATTAAACGTTAAGATTATGCACGTCAAAGCATAACAAAGAAAAAAGGTGGCATACATAGCGACGTTGTGTCTCACAAGTTTATTAACTATGGTATGACATAGTGTCTCAGTCACAACTCTAGACTGTCTACTGCACGGACTAGTGACGTACCTATTTTTTTTTTTTTAAGAGATTTTATGACCTGTTAACTAAGACCTTTAAGTCATGTCTTATTTTACTTTATATTCTTAATTTTATGAAAAATGATAATATGGAGTGAAATGAAATGAAGATGATTAATTTGAGACATTAATCAACTGGGATGAAATTTAATGAAATGAAATGATATGGGATGAAATATAATCGCAGTAAAATGGTGGTCATTTACTAAGATTTTATCAGTGGACTTTTTGGAGGAATCCGAGAAGTTACGTGCAGCAGCTTTGTTTCATTTTCCCACATTTGTGCACTTTCACAGATATTAAACAGTTAATAAACCACCATTATTACACATTTAATCCTGAAGAAACACTAAATAGACAAAATAAAACAAATCACACAACTTCACTCCTCGCGTTCCCGCCAAAAAGTCGTACCTATTTATTTACTGGTTGACATGCATAGATTATATACTGACACGGATACCTATGTCAAAACGTCGCAGTGTACAGGTAGGTGCCTGCTGTTATATTTATTGAAATGTAGTGTTTTATATATACCTAGGTGCCTAGGTAGATACACTTTCAGTCTCCTATTATCTACCTATATCACCTCACTATTTGCAGCTTGCAATCTTCACTTCACTTCGTGGTGTGGTAACTTTGTGATCGATCGATATAAAGCTCAGATTGTGGCGGTGCATTTGCAGAGCTTAACTTCTTCCTAACAATGATAAAATTAATGCTTTTGGCATTGTTCGCTACGACTTCCTTATGTGACGAAACTATAGAATTTGCTGTGGTAATTTACCGCCATGGCGATAGAACCCCAGTGAACCCCTACCCAACAGACCCTTGGAAGAATGAATCCCTGTGGCCCGTGAACTTTGGACAACTTACCAATATTGGCAAGAAGCGGCACTACCAGCTGGGACAATGGTTTCGGAAGCGATATTCGGTAAGTAAAGAGTTTTATAACAATGCACCTAACATACCTACCCACACCACAAACAAAATGGAGGATTGCGAAATTTTCAATATTACAGATTTTATTTATTCCAAAATTAAACACTAAACTTTACATATAGAATTGTATTCTTTGACATATCATCAAATCATTATTGTGTATTGTTTTTTAACTTACAGCACTTAATTTCAAAGCAGTACAATCCACAAGAGATATATGTAAGATCCACGGATGTTGATCGCACTCTTATGTCTGCTCAGGCCAATTTAGCTGGTAAATATCTTTGATTAAGTAGTAAATTTTTATTATATTTTCGTGTCAACTATTCAGAAAGTATACTTTATTATGCTGCGAAAATAATAGCAAAACAATTGAATTTGTCATATCAATTGTCTTTCAAAAAAAATTACATAGACTAATTTCCTTATTCCACTTAATTTGACATCTTGATAGACAATTCCTCTCAATGCACAGGAATGTATCCTCCAAATGGAACTAGTGTGTGGAATCCAGATTTGATGTGGCAGCCAATACCTGTACATACAGTTCCTGAACATGATGACAACATTCTTGCAATGAAAAAGTCCTGTCCAGCCTATGATAAGGAGCATCTGAAATACACCCATTCAGTGGAATACCTGAATAAACTCCATAAATATGATGAACTAATGCAGTATGTATATAATTTTATCAATAACAGTACCAAGTACAATTATACTTCTGCATGACTTTCTGCTGAAATGTTGTATTGTAGTAGCATTCAAGGAAAGATATGTCTTAGAGCTTAGGAAATACTACAGATAGAAGTTCCATAGCAGGTAGGTATGTGGCAATAAAAGCACTGGAAAAGCACTTTGTACACAGTGGTCGCAGGTATTAGATGAAATCTGCTCCAGTGTCACATGGTCTTCACAAAGACAGTTCTTCCGAGCATGAAGAATGGCATTTCAGAGTAATACATATAAATAAAATTAGAGTGTCTATTTGTATTATTGTAATAACCACTTTTTACTACATGCATATGAATAACTATATGGTCCATACACCAAAATAAAATAAAAATTCAATTTTTGTCTGTCTGTCTGTTAGTTCCAGCTAATCTCTGGAACGGCTGGACCGATTTTGATGAGACTTTCACTGATAGGTAGCTGATGATATAAGGAGTAACTTAGGCTTAGTACTTTTTTTAGACTAGCTTCGCCCCGCGGTGTCACCCGCAGTTATTATCATACCACGTGCAAAATGACAGGCTTTGTCTATCAATAATAAAATTTAATGTTTCCGAAGCGAAGTGGGGGCGGGTCGCTAGTTGTATATAAAATGAAATCTTTTGCATTAACAAGGGTTTTATTTATTTCTTTACAGTATAAATGTTTATTTAAATTAAATATGTACTTGTGCTTACATACTTTGACAAATCTTTATATTTTAATGTTTCATATGGAATTTTTTTTGTTGTGGATTAAACTAATAACTCTAGGATATGTTCTCAAGAACCTCTGAATTTATTTTCTCAGAATGTCACTAGAAATTGCAAAGAATTCTATTCTATGATTTTCTTCTTAACATACCGTTTTTTATTTCTACCCTTCTAAAAAATCTGTTTATGCTTAAGTCTCTATAGACCTATAGGAGTTGGAGATTTTGGAAAAGCTTTAAGCAGCTACATTTAGAAGTCTCCAACATGACTGGTCTAAAGACTTATGTTATTTTTGCTTTTGGCTTAAACTACGCAATTTTATTGAGTATTTGGTAGAGATGTCAGAGACCACGAGTGCCAACATGACTGACAAGCTGACAAACAAATTGAAGTTGAGGTTAATTTTTATGCGTCCCATCATAAGTATGACAGGACTATTTATGGTGATTCTCAGTTTATCAGAAATTTCATATTCTTTTAAGTATATGTTGATTACTTTAACAACTACATCATGTGGTCCGTGTTCATGTACAAGTTGATTTCAACTGTTTGTTGTAAAGATATTTAATATTTCGTGGTGTACTTATTATCTAGTAGGTTTTGGTATGCACACCAGGAAAAGAACAGCTTAGGACCATTAAATATGTCCAAAACCGTCATTGATTCTTCTTCAACTTCTGTGCCTGATACACATGAATACAGGGTAGTGATGGGTTTTTTTTATGAAACCATGGTATGTTATTTTCTCTGCTAACAGGAATGCGAAATAAGAGAATAAAGAAAAGTGTGGGTCCTCTAAAAAGGAGCATTCTAAATGAATAAATCTGATCATTATTTCTGTAATTCGTAAAAAAATCGTCTCGTTAGTCTTGTGGCCAGTGACTTTGATTATTATATACACATATCAGGGCCTGGTCAGAATTTGTTTCTTATTTAGAAATGTTAGAGTTCTGGGTATAATTGTCATTGTGTGGTGTTTTTTCAACACATAGAAAAGAATAATCTGGCTTGGGTCCTTTTAGTATAAAACAAACTTTATTTTACTTAAAATCCCCGTTTCAGCTCGCGTGCTAGCTACTCAACATGGCTAACTAGAGCAATCTTTGTCTCATATCGATTTCTGCGTCAGCTCCGCGCATGCCTATCTTAACATGATTCTTAACTAGATAAATGGCACGGTAATTGGTATCGCTGTTTTTTGTACCTTGTAAAATGAGAGCAAAGTAAATTTAAATTAATATTTTAGCTTAAGATATGCCGGAACTCCCTTTTGTGGACATAATTCTGTTATATGTCTCACTGTGCGATGAAGGTCGTTGATCTCTGATATTTATTCATCGGTAGGCTTACACCAAATACGTAAATAGCCTTGCGACAACAGCTATCATATTTGTAATAAAATAAACGCACACGGTCAACGTTTGATTCTCCACACCTATCAAGGTGAACACTGTTTCTTTCTGATAAAACGACAATATGTTTGGAACATTTGCACTGATAAATTAAAAAAACGCCCGCCTATCTATAATATCAATAATTTGTATTTGTTATTGGTAATATAGTGAGATAACTGTTTTCATTTTAAATAAGGCATTGCTCCTTCTTTTCAGGTGTATATTTTTTTAGCACAAACAAAAATACACATTCACTCCTTACTTCTTTACTCTTTAAGACGAAACACCAATAAACTGCCACCCTAAAGTAAAATCAAAACCAAACTATTTGCTAAGTATTTATAATCGAAATATTTCATTGCTAGCTAAGGTCATTTTGTTGAAGAGTAGCTACACGAGGTCTCATAGGATAACGCTGCTGCGTAAGATTTTGGGCGTCCAGTTTAGTGACCAAAATAAACATAGTAGGCTGCCCATTACGTTGAACTGACGCAAAAAAACATTATGTCCCGGCCAACCTTGTAAATAAAAAGAGAAAACGTAAATTAGCGGCTTATCGAAGGTCAAAAAAGTCAGAATGAAAATAACACAAAAAACATAGCAATTTATTATTAATCCACAAAACACACACAAATTAAATTGTTGTTTAATCATTTTGATGTTGAAATTAATGCTATCTGTATAACGTATTTTTTAGTTACTTATCTTCGAACACTGGCACCAAAATTAAGAGCTTTGCCGATATTTTGGATATCTACAGCACTTTGTACATTGAAGAATTGAATAATTTCACCTTACCGCAATGGACTCGCTCTGTCTACCCTGAAAAAATGAGGGAACCGGCTGGTTACAGGTAATTTTTAGATACGCTTAATCTTTTTTTTTTGTGTTCGTGAATAATTTATGTAAACAATATTATCGGTTATGATCATTTTGAAATGAACGTTTAAAGGCAATCTGTATTGCAAATCCTTTAACAACGACGTAAAACATAACATCTTTTGCGCTTCGATTTTATACTTTAGGTTTTATCGTTTTAGCTATCTCCAACAGAACAAAACTTCTTGTCTCATATACTAAAGAGCTGTAATTGAATAACGCCCCAATGGATATTAAACTGTTTTTAATTCGTCTTTCCAAAAGTAATTTTATTTTATAGCATTTTTAATCAAGATAACATCATCATCATCATCATCACATGAACACCACCCAAAACGTTAAATATGGTAACGCCTCATTTTTTTCGAATTTGTTTGAATAAATAAATTTATTCATATCATTCATGCGAATGTGACGAAAAAGTACCTAATCTTTTTTCACCCTACCTCGCCATTATTAGATTAAGACGTATTTTAATTTTTCGATAACTATTGATTATTCTATTTAACATTTACAGCTTCAAGACGGAAACGGCGACACCTCTATTGGCCCGTCTTAAAGTTGGGCCTTTGATGAAAATCATTGTCACATCAATACAAGAGGTCATATCGAATAAGACTACTGGAAAAAGTAAAAAGCACAAAAAACTGTTAATCTATAGCGCCCATGACTTGACGATCGGAAACATTCTCAACTCGTTGGATATGTACGACGGAAAATGTCCCGCTTTCACATCTACGATCTTGATAGAATTAATACATGGTTAGTACAATGTGATTGGATGGTCTTATTTGGTTTACCGAAGCTCACATATCCCACCCACCTCTAGACTTTAATGGTAGGCAGCGGCTTGGCTCTGCCCCTGGCTTTGCTGACGTCCATGAGCGACGGTAACCACTTACCATCAGGTGGTATGCTCGTCTGCATAAAAAGGCAATAAAAAAAAAAGACATGATATTAATAATCAGTACGCAAACGATGCGATGATTGGCGTCCTAACGCTGTTTTCATTCACAGATGATTACACTCAGGATTATTACATTAGAATCTTGTACCGGAACTCGACTGAAATTATAGAACCCAGCATTTTAAATATACCTTGCTGTGGTGCGAAGTGTCCATTTGAACGCTTCAAGACCATCTATGACAACCTGATTTCCGTTAAATGGGACTATGAATGCAGGCAATCTCAGGTGAGTATCAAATGGGCAACTAAATTATGTGCTATTTGAATCACAAAGTTAGTGAAACTGTTGGATCCCCGTTAAACTTTGGTTCACATTGTGTTGAATGTAGTTTCTTCTATTTAAAAAGCTAAAAAGAATCGTTGGGTTGGAACCGTCATCATCTTTTACCATCGCACCAACCACTGAAGCAGAGTTCATCCTCACTAAGTCACTTATCCTTCTTCCTATTCACACACTCTTGACGGAGTGGTTGTGGTCATGCATCAGTCGGATGCGACCTGCTCGTGACTCTCGTGGGAAATAAGTGCAGTGGTTTCCCGTTGCCTTCTGCACCAGCATTTTAGGGGGTATTTGATGCCCAAGGTTTCTGACGCCTCTTCCGTATAGGTTGTCCTGACGGGTGTGTATGGTTATACCGCCATTGCTCGGTCGCCATTGCCCCGTTGGTTTTCTAGCAGGGAGTACCACGGCAACCTGTTGGTCGCCGCCGCCATCCGGCGCGTGCAGGTGGGGTTGACAATTGGGCCGGTGAAGGTAGCATTCCGATTTCCCCTTACTCCCCTTATTCTTATCCTTACATAATACTTATTACAATTTCCAGAGATTGTGATTGTTATGTACCTTCTGGCTCTGAAATGAACACTTCTTCACAGATTGTCTTGAATAATATGATTTGCCGAGTTTCAAACGAGACTTGAAGAGAGACCTCTGCAGTATAATGCACCCTGGCCGGAGAGACTCTTTCATTGGTTTTTGTTATTTTTCGTAATTTCACACCTTGATTAAAAAAAAACATCAGAAATGTTATTTCTGTTATGTCACATAGTATTAGGTAGTATGTAATATTTATTTTTTTATGGAAAAAAGTTATTTTAATATTTTACGCTAATATTTTTTGTTACAAGTATTTTTTATTTTGTTTTCAGTTCGTGGCGATTCTTGTTATGTCTTTCATAGTTGGAATGGGACTTTTTGCTACTATCTACATGACTCATAAAGTACTTTTTATGCACTGGTCGAAAGAGATGTGAGTTGTTTTAATGAATTATCGGTAAGCGGATAACTATTTTGCAATCCCCAAGCTAGGATATCCAGTAGCTTAAATAACGTAGTCTCCCTAATGCAATTGATGTAATTTACAATGCGGATTTAGTAGTGTAGATTAAGTTGTGTGTTAAAAAAAAACTGTAAATAGATTTGCTTGGCGATTGTGACTTAGACATTCTGACGTTACTGTAATGTTGTTTATTAGCCGTCAATATAACCTTTAAAGGATAAGTATGTAATTCTCGACAACAGAGACGATAGGTCGGAATCAACGCATACAACTTTCAATTTTAATTGAAACCAACGGGACTACATAAAAATATGTGATTATTTCAAATAATGGATTTCAAGGTTGTGGCTAAATTTATTTCCGACCTAGATTAGTTCAGGTCTCTGGTGTCTATGGATTACTATTTACCCACTAAAACATTTATTTATTTATTTATTTCAGTGATCCCGAAGTAGAGCAGTATGATAGGTTTGTGAATACGCATTTTGTTACCTTAAAAGTGAGCATGGATTGTTCATTCAACAGAGACCAGGTCTAAAATGAGTCCGCGGCAGACTATAGTCAAGTAAATATGGCGTCACCTTCGGCCACTGCTGTCATGTGAAAAAGGATTCTCGATATGTGGACACTTGCGAGCTACCATCAAAATGTTTGGGACTGTTTGATTGAGAGATTGTTGCGGGGTCCGAAATTACTCCAATTGCCAAAGATGCTATGAAATTTCGACTATATATTATCTACCTAATTATCACACATTCGAGTTCATTAATGTGAATCAAGTAATAATAATATGGTAACGCTTTAGGTGTAATGTATTAGATGAGTTGTCTTAAAATGAAGGTTATTAATGAAATGTCTTAGGTGCACAAGGCCTTAATAATAAAAGTATCGTATTAATATCATACGTAGTTCTACTATTTCTAATCAAACAATATTATAAAGTATTTTGCTGGTAGTTTAATTGAAAGTAAAATTCCATTAATAATAATAATATATACCTTAATCATCTTTAAATATAAGTATTTGTTGCCTTTATTTTTATAATTAATTAATCATTATGAGTCGTTGGCTGGTAATAATTAAAAATAAATGAACGTAAAAGTACTTTAAGTTTACACATAGCTTGTAAAGATGGGTCCTGTATTTCAATTGTTTTTGTTGATATTATTGGTAATGATGATTTTATCTGACAGCTCCCAATTTAACTCTCTCTTTGATATTAAATGTCTATTATAACTCTTTAATTATCATAATAATACTCGATATTCATGTTTATAATTATATATAACCTTTTAGGAAAATATCATTATTGGTAGCAAAGTGGATTATTGTGACTGATAAATGAAATATGTAAATTGTGATACATATGTATTAAAAAGTACATATTTTTTGTAATTTATCGTTTGTATAACGACGAAACTTTAGTAATTTTTTATATTTTTTTTTTATTTTTGAGGCGGAATTAGCACTAATAAAGGCCAAAACGCCCTAACAAGGCGACGGGTTCAGTGGTCTATAAAAATGTACCAAAATAAAAAGCACGTCGCATGAGACTGCTCAAACTTTAATTCAAACTGAGGAGACCTTTTAATTTATTTAAGACTGAGTAATTAACTTGTGTAACTTTAATATTTTCAAAGAATGACAAAATTCTTTGGTACTTCCAATTTTATTATGAATGATAAAATATATCGCAAATTGATGTCTATTAGTGAAATTATCACTAATCATTTAAAACGTCACAATTGTAGATTTTGTGTAATTTTAGATCTGATTACAGGTATTTTTGTTTAAACTTTATAATAATGTAGCGTAGAAAACCTTGGTGTTCTCTGTATATTAGGTATACCGTACTTGTAATTTTTGGTGTTGATGTTTAAATAAATAAAAAAGAAATATGGCTTTCTTTCTTCCCACCCATCCCACATTTGCACATCCTACCTTAGTTCAAATATTTAGCGGTATAGAAGCTACTCTGCTGTTACAAACTTATCCTGCCTGCTGCAACAACTAGCTCTAATTAAGTGCTTGTAGTTTTCAATCATAGTTTGGAATGTTTTTTCTACATTTCACGATATTGCAGTCATGCGTCACGCGTATAAAAAGCATACTACCCCATAAGGGAGTTTTCGCGAGATTAACCCTTGATGTATTGACGCTATTTCTAAAAAGACTGTTAGATATTACTTCTTATCGAGGCACGGGACAGTGGTTGACTGTTTCCATCAAGCGAAAGTTTGTACAATCTCATAAAAACGTCATAACTGATATATTCCATTAAACAAAGTGATAAATTCCATTACTATAAACGACTGAGATAGGTGGACTTAGGACATAGGTTTATTTTGATTTCGTCTCTAGGTATCGCTGCAACTTTCGATCAACAATACTATAAATTCACACATGGTCGTAGAGACTCGTGTGTGACATCACGCCACAATATGCAAAACAAAGGGTGTCAGAATAACGCTACGTCTTAAAACAAAAGCACTCACGGTTTAAAACAATACGGTGTTAACATTAATTTAATATATAAAATTCTCGTGTCACGGTGTGCGTGATTGAACTCCTCTGAAACGGCTCGACCGATTTTCGTGAATCTTAGCGTGCATATCGGTTAGGGTTGAGAATCGAACAACACCTATTTTTCATCCCCCTAAATGTTACGGGTGGTCCAGTCCTAAATTTTATTTTTTAGACAAATTTTTTTGTTTTTATTTTTTTATGATACAGCTTACAAAATACATACTACCCTAAATTTTCACCCCTCTACGATCAACCCTTATTTTTTATTTGCTAATTAAAAACTAAATTTTTTAGCAAGAATTTTGTTTTTATTTTGTCGACTTAGAATAAAAATTTCATATTACTCTGAAAATTTCACCCCTCTACGATCAACCCCTATTTTTTATTCGTTAATTATAAACTTTAATTTTTTTGGCAAGTTTTTATTTTGTCATGACTTAAGATAAAGAAATTCATACGAGAATCGGCTACTATCTATTTTTCATACCCCTAAGTGATAAGGGTTGTCCACCCCTAACATTTATTTCTTATTTTTTGGACAATTTTTTTTTTGTTATAATGAGGTATTATGTGGTTGAATGATATTTTTTTCTTCACTAGTAATTTTCTAGAAATCTTATATATTATTATGGCAAAACAACGTTTGCGGGTCAGCTAGTATATATATATATTATTTTATTTATTTATCTATATTCAGCTGTGAAGCAATAATGCGTTTTGGTTCGAAGGGCGGGGCAGCCACTATATATACTTTAGGATCTTAGAAATTATATCTCAAGAAGGGTGGTGGATTTAGGTTATAAATGTCTATGGGCTTAAGTAACCACTTAACACCAGGTGGGCCGTGAGCTCGTCCACACATCTAAGCAAAAAAATGTCTTTTTGGGGACACTAGGGAAATTTACTAAAACTCAAATGTGTGTCAGATGTTTTGTAACCAACTAGAATTACAGCTCTTTATCATCCATCATTAAATTAAAAAAAAAAAAACTATGATTTCTAAAAACTAGGTATGTAGGCACTAAATGTCGAAATTGACTTTTATAATAGATAAATCCGAAAATTACAACACAATAGGTGTGAATGTGTTAAAATCGCCACACAATGCGTTATTTGCGACATTCAGTGATTTGCAAAGCCTGTGTTCAAATACACAAAAATTTGGACACAACACAATCAAAGTTTAAGAGTGAATGATCTCACATATCTGTATTATTGTTTCGTAATTACCTACTATGTATCTAAGTTTAAGTTTATTTTGTGCTTAATGTACCAAGAAAAGCATTCTTATGTGATATTTATGTATAATCTTTAAAAAAATTTGCACCAGATGATTCGACGTATCTTAATTTTTGGGCCAGAAGGAAGTCGCCGGACTTCCCTTTACAAGTTGGGGTCGGTAGTTGAAGCATCTCGTTGTTGAAGCGACCAACCTCTGACCGGCCCGGACAGCAAGGCGGAACACATCCAATAGGCTGAGGACAAAGTTATTGACTTCGTACGTAGTGAATGTTTCCACCCCACCCAGTACCCGCTGCACGCTAAACCGATGGTCATCGCCAACTTGTACCCTCGGGATAACCCTCGCCGCGGTAGAGATGGGCAGAGTAGGCCTTTTTTATCTACCAGGCCTTGACAGCTTATTTGACAAAAACTATATTTGCCACATTCTCTGGGACGTATTGATTGCATCATTGACATTTACGTTGCATTTCACTACTTGAAATCATCAAAGTTATGATATTTATACATTCAAAACGATTACGTTATAAATTAAAAATGTTTCATTACAAAATTAAGATTCGGTATTTACTATGTGTGTCAAATTGGGAATATTAGAAATGCCTGACTATATTAGTTTATTATATTCTTGAACTCTTTATATATTAGCTTTATATATTTACCTATGAATTTGCCATTTAGTTATACAGAAAGTTAAAGTATTTTTTTCAAAGAGACATTCATTTCTCTCAGTCAAAATATGTATCTTGTGTATATGTATCTTTGCTAAGGCAGTATTAATTTTTCAATGCTCCCCTTCAAGAAGGTAGGTGAACATTAACCAGCAAACTGTTCAAAGGCATTTTATACTGCCTCTTGGATAATTAAATATTTTCCCTGCCAAGAAATTTACCAAATTTGGTCAAAAATAGAAGTCTGTCGACGCAAGGTCTGTTGAGTACCGTGGATGACGCGAAACTTTCAATTTGTACAAACTTCCGCGCATGAGGTCGAGCGTAGTCGTGAAGAAGCAGCGAGGACTAGTGATTAACATAGACTGGCCGGAGATTTGCGAGCTACTGCATCATTGTGTCCAGTTCCTCACAGTGCACATCCGAGGCCATGCTGGTGGCATTTTTTTTATTTAATTTTTTTTATTGCTTAGTTGGGTAGACGAGCTCACAGCCCACCTGGTGTTAAGTGGTTACTGGAGCCCATAGACATCTACAATGTAAATGCGCCACCCACCTTGAGATAAGTTCTAAGGTCTCAGTATAGTTACAACGGCTGTCCCGCCCTTCAAACCGAAACGCATTACTGCTTCACGGCAGAAATAGAATTAGGTAACTGTGATGAATTATACCGGAACTAGACCAAAAATTAGTGACCATGAGTGTATAGGGGTAAGTTTTTGTTTGAGGCACTGCCTAGATGCTAAACAGGCATGCAGGGTCTAAACCAATGATCAAAAATAAATATTTTTTCATCGCAATTGATAATGCGGTTCAAAATCCCTTCCTTTCATTGCCTGTCAAGCAACGCATGCGTACGTTAACGCGTTCGTCGCGCCGGCTTATCAAGTTTTTTACCTTGTCAATTTAACAAAAATGAACCAATATCGTTTTGATGCTGACGTCGAAAGCTGCTGCTAACTCAGCGGTTGATTGAGTTTCGTCAGCTTCCTATATGACCTTTAATTTGTCGTTGTCGATTTTAGATTTCGGTCGACCACAGGTTTTATATTCGAGATTAAAAATTCCATAATAGGGTTCAAACCAATAACGAGTCATGCGTTCGTCTGTAGTGTTCACTCCGTACATCATTAATATTGTGAGCCGATTGTGCGGCATTGCTACCACGACGGAACTCGTATTCCATAGTTACTCGCATTTTGTCATGTCCATATTTATGAAAATTATACAAATGAAAATAAGAAAAGAAAATAAAATATGTACTAATCATTAAACAAGTGACTGAATTTGAAAATATAATTACATATTTTTGAAATAAAATTCAGTTTAATTTAGAATTGATTAGCTGGTCATAGATAAAATACATTTCAAATGGCTAGTACTGTAAAACGGCTACTTCATAGGTACCTAAGGCTTTTATTTTACGGGGTCATTACTTTTTTAGCTCGGTTAATTTACGAGAGAAATGTTTTTTCAACTATTAAATAAATAAACAAATAAACGGTTTTAATAAGTCTTTTACTACATATTTTGTATTTTTTTCATCTACCGTATTTTTTGTAACAAACTCACATCAGCGTTTCACGTTGCCCAAGATAAATAATGCAGATAACTGCAAGCTCACGAGCACAAAACTATTAACAAGTAATGCTTCTAACGTTATTTATAAATATTAATTTAAGTCACTAGGGTCATCTCGTTATAATCTGTAAAAGGTCTAAAGTTTGTGGCATCATAAATTAGTTTATAGTAATCACCTTATCACCAATTTACTAATAAAAGTTTACTACAAAGTTGCTTTGGTATGAGTTTGTAAAATGAAAGTTGTAGAAATTTAAAACAACGTTTTCAAAAATATTTTTATTTCGCTATTTTGTGATCTTCTGAATAATTTACTTTTTCGCGCCTTCCCGTGTCTGCTTTTCAACGTCAACAATATTGTTTAGTTGCATGTTGTAAATTTTTAGAGAACTATAATATATTTTCATTAACATCCATATGTTTAAATTAAAAATTTGGAAAGTTTATAAGATAAATAGGGATATGCAGTTAGAATAAAATTTCCCAAACTTTCTCTAGCACTGAGAGAAATATTATTGTTACTTTTAAAGAAACAAATGTCAAGAGCTACAATAAAAGTTTAGAGCTTCCAACACTTTCTATCAAATAGGATTGTAATAAAAAATATTATGTATTATTACATCTCTAGTAGTATGTACGTGTAAACATATGATTATTATTATGTAGGTAAGGTGTTACGCACTCGCATCCATCTGCTTGCACCGGTATTATGTGGGACATACTTCAGATGAAATAATAATATTCTCACATTTAAGTGTCAATATGAGACAAAAGGTCACGTTTTAAAGGCATTTATTGATTTTTTTTTAAATCCTTAAATGAATTTTAACAGTCTTTATTTTATTACAACAGTTAAATCACAATACGTTAAAAGAAAAAGGAAATTATTTAAAGTTTACTAATCAATAATATCCGACAAATTACTATTGAATAAGTTGGGAATGGCGTATTTTTTTTTACCTTACCCGAAATTTCGTTTTCGTTAAGGTGATTGGAAGACTTAGCATTCCTAGACATCGATCAATTTCGTTAAAACAATAGGCTTCCTTACTAAAAGAATATTTCGCCCACTCTATTTTATTAAGTTATCACTAACTTAATAATAGGTTCCATTTATTTGAAGACATTCAAAACTGCTACACTTAATACTGACGTAACCTTGGTAATCTAGTGCGTGCTTAAGCAAAAAGTCTAGACTTATCTCAGTACATTTTACTATATGTGATAAATATAAATAAACTCGGACAAGGGCACCGCTCCGCATATTTTTTAAAACAATGCGGAAGTGGCATGAGTCTGTTGTTATATATGTATATATGTATGTATGTATGTGTTCGACTTGATATTGAAACATAAAAATTACAATTAAATTATTTGTTAAGGTTTTGTAGTACATTTGTGTTTTTAAACTTGCAATAGGTATTTGATGATCACAGATTTTCCTTGAGCATAGGATGCTTTCAAAATACGGTCGTTTAACAGTTCTAAGAAACAGGGCTGTCTGTAGATGAAGAGTGGCTCTACTTTGCCTTACAGGAGGATACAAACGTAAAAAATACGTATGCTATTTTTTTATATATAATACATATATAACAAGAAATAAATTTGAGTTGAATGAAAACTGGAAAACTGTGACAAATCACTTAACATCCAAAATTCTAATTATCAACTCGTCGGCGACACTGGTTTATTTGCATTTCTGTTTGTTACATTCGCATCTTCATAATGCGACCTCGTCTGTCTCCAAGTTACCTAATAAAATTCCGGATCCATCGTCACCTTTAACCTCTACGAAAGTATCCACGTCACTTGAACATTGTGCCTTAGGCGTACCGAAGCTTATTCCTATGATGTGGCACAGTTATTTAAAACCTCAAAAGATTACCATTAATAGCTATGATGATATGTAAACTACTAAGGATTTTTTTTTGTTCGAAACATTTTTCTTCATTTTGCTTTTGATTTAATATTATGTGGTAATCGAATTATTTAGAAAGTTTTGCACTTATGGATGTATTTGTTCATCAAACATATGGTTAGACATCTTCGATGTCATTAGCGAATTCACCAAGCAAGAGCTTTTGTTTGTTACTCAGTCTATCGTTTAAATTAAGCCCGTTTTTAGCAGTACGACGTGTCTATAGTTGTAAAGTTTTTTAAATTAAGCTAAAATATGAAGCAAAATCGTATTAGCTAATTAAACATAGATCGTATCAGATGTACAAGCGGTAACAATCGACAAAACTTATATGTATATGCACAATAGTTTTGCACGATGTTGCGCGTGTGCCAAATATAAAACAGGCTGACTTACCCAAAAATGAACAGGTCTCTGTTTTATGCAGGCTTTAGTGCCTTTCGTGGATCACAGATTGCTGGATATGAAAAAGCGTTGACGGCAGCGGAGGTGGCGGGCGGTCGCCAGCGCCAATACCAACTCTCGAAACACGAAACGTAGGTACCGAAGGTGCCTGTAATAGAACGGCAGAGCAAGCGAGGTCTCCGTTCGTGGTGGACCTGCACAGAACCACAGCGCGGAGAAAGGAAAGTTCGTAATTACGCAGTGCTTGCAACATCAGAGGCCTAGCAACACACAGACATGAAGATCCTACCCCTGTGAGTAAAAAAATCAATAAATTATTTTTTTAATTGTTTTACCAATAAAATTTTGGAATTTGTCAAGGAAACCCTAGATTTTATAGAGTCATTTTATTATGATATGCTTTGCGAATGCCTTGCGATAGTAAAACCGTTTTTATTCTAGAAATAAAAAAATAAAAAACGTAAATTCGACCCTAGTGCATTTTATAACATCAAGTTGTCAAGACTCCAGAAGGTTGTAATAAGTATGCGCTAAATTTTTTATACTTTATAGCGATAAATCCATTGAAATCCTTTTTTTATTACACCTATTAAAAATATTTGTTTTCAAAAAAAAACAAATCGCATTGTTCTACAGGATGCTTTATGTTGAATTAGAAAAAAAAGGAATGGCTATTCGGGGGTTAAAGAAACAACATAACATATTTAAAAAAAAGTATTATATGCTTAAAGTATTAAATAGTCCGCAAAAAATATGGAGAATCTGTTAACCTGAAATAGTCTTCCATCATATAGTGTTAAGGGCATGGATGCATCCTACCTACTTATTCGTTGACTCGGATTATACGACTCGTCTACGTTTCAATGAATGGTATTAAATAATATATAAACTCGTGTTTATTTCATAACAAATGACTTAGAAACCCCGATACACAGATCTAGAGTTGACCCAATGTAGCAGACCAATTAATTTTCAAATTATTCGTGCGAGAACGGAACCGGTATTTTGAATGAGTCGATCTCATGTTGAAAGTTAGATTTGCAACTCGTGATTAGGCAATGTAATGTTATAAACGATGAATACATGTCACGTCAGTCGCGAGATGTACATTCTAACTAAATAATACTGGCATATGCTTAGAGCTTAGGCAGTCTTAACAAAAGCAAATTGTTTTAATAAATTCAACACCACGTAAAATATAATAGTAAAATAATAAAAGTAAATGAAAGCCTTGAAGAACTTTTTTTATAAGTAAAAATAACTTTGTCGCGTATTCTATCAACCCAACCCACAATTTACATACAGTTCATTAGAAATAATATTAAAAATGAATTTCGCGATTACAAATATCGAAGGTCGCATTGTCAATAAATCTATTTTGAGTGAATATACTTTTTGGGCAATTTTTATTTTCTACAGTTCCATTCTGTATGCGGAATCGTGTCGTAAATTCGACCGGTTCGAAAACTAACGAAAACTGCGGTTAAATTTTGATCAGGCCCCAAAGAATTGTAGTTTCTGCATTTTGCAATGTCGCCGTCTGATTATTCTTGATAATAAATACGGTCACCTCCGCTTGTTGACCTCAATTGATACAGATTATAATGTATTAAAATTCTGATAGGTTCGGATCGTTTACTGCATTCAAAATTAACAAAATGCAGTTTGCATTAAGAAATAATAAATAAATAATTTATATACTATTCATTTTATTATTTTCTTATTGCTCAGTTTCGCTAAGATGTATTTATAGAACATATTTTCATACGTGCGAGTGCATACGACGTCGTGACCCGTCGAATACATACTTCAAATAGCAGGCACTTACTCAACATAACTACTTACATAAAAACATATAGTAGGTAATAAAACAATCTTGCCTAACCAGATGAATGACATCTGTAAGGATGCGTATACAGAGTTTTACAAAATATATTTCGCATCACATGATAAAACAACGCATCGCATTATGTAATGTCAAGAATGCAATCGTTAAACATTTTGCTATAATCTTGTGAAATTTTGATTACAACTTTTTATGTAGAAATGTGTGTGATGGGAATGTTTTCATTTGATAAAAAAATTTGAAAATCATTGTAACTAGAACGTATTTTTGAAATATGTATTTTCCTTTCAAAACAAACAAGTTTATTAAGTTACCTATATCAACTTTAATTTAAATCAAGTTGTACATAAATAGCCTAATTAAATGTTTAGGTTTTTTAAAGTCCGTAATTTCATAATGGCTCGCGGAATGATGCACGTGCTCACAACGCACTATAAGGTCAACTACTTTTTTTACTTCTGGTTTCTATTCATCTGACCTTGGCGGTATTGGGGCTCACAATCATTATGCGTTTAGTGCAACAGTGTGTCTGCGTTACAAATACATTAATGCGTAGAAAGCTGTACCTCTTAGTAACGTGACTGCAATAGTTTATATTCGTCTCTAAAAAGAGTGCAAATACATTCCTTTCACAACTGGTTTTTTACTGGTGGTAGGACCTTTACTGGTGTTAGGCCCTCTTGTGAGTCTGCGCGCGTAGGTACCACCACCCTGCCTATTTCTGCTGTGAAGCAGTAACGCGTTTCGATTTGAAGGGTGGGACAGCCGTTGTAACTATACTGAGTCATAGAACTTATATCTCAAGGTGCATTTGCATTGAGCCCACAGATGTCTGTGGGCTCCAGTAACCACTTAACACCAGGTGGGTTGTGAGCTCGTCCACCCATCTAATCTATAAAAAAAAAGAATATAACTAGAGATTTTAAAACGTATTTTATTCGGGCGGACCTTAAAGCGACATACCGTCCGTGATAGCGCGTGACGAGACGTGTGCACGATCATCTCAAGAATTACATAAACCAGAGAAAGTTAAGGGACGACGACAAGCATCAGTCGGAAGCGGATGCGGAATCACACAAGAGTCCATCTTAACTGGCCCCGATCGAACTTGTTGAGTAGTACTACTGTTACCGGACAATATAGCGACAAGTCGACCTTTGGCGGAGCAGGTGAAGCGGTGCGCGTTCCGCCTTGCAGAGTCGACCCGGAGGCGGCTCTCGGTATGTCGGTATAGCTACACTGCGACATTCACCCAACCTCGACGTGCCATATTTAAATATCTGACATTTAATGGCATTCAACTATTATGCTTAAACTTATTTCATTAGACATTCTCATGGGGCCAATAAGATAACCCGCAGTAGGTGGTTCACTATAAATAGCGATGGTGCAAATGTCTTTTCAATTTATTATTTCAATTTAAGGTTATATTTTACTGAGACTTATCCTGCTGTTCACTCCTTGAACTTATACTGACACCGTGACCTTTTAATATAAATACATTTATAATGATAGAATGTGGTGTTACGTGGTTCGTATATTGCCTACATACATACGTAACTCGTTAGAACAGGTAGTCAAATCGAGCGAGTGGACTCGACTCGAGTGTTGTGCAAAAATTTAAATTATCTAGGAACTATTTTTTCGAGTTTTCTATCTGAATGCTGTATGTTTGTGCGGTAGCAACGCCGTATTTACAAACCGAATTGGCAAATGACTTATTGCAGCGTGCGAGGTCAGCACAACGTATCGTGTTCTGTGCGCTGTTACAATCTGATTGACTGTACGTTTTGAAACGATTCGTTTTTGTTTCGATTTTGTAGAATAATTGCCGCCGATAATTGCGGTGACTTAAATTAGACAATGCGATTAAATGCACTATTGCTTATTTCACATGTGCCTAAGGGAACTCTTTGATATTTATATCCGTAGTAATTGCAATTAGGGGGTAGATTGAATATAGGTAGCGGCAGACATGTGATCAATATTAGGATTCTAGTAACTGCTTAATAGCAGGCGAGCTGTGAGCTTTTCCTTCTACCTGTCAAGCCCAATAAATGTGAGCTAACACTATTCTAAATTTATCATTAATTCCATAATAATTTGGATGTTATGTCATTTATTGTAGATTTTATAACGAACGCTCCGACTAATTCATTTAATGAATTGCTCATCCAGTGTCTGTAACTTTTATCGCGTTTTGACATCGGGCAGGGGGTGATCGTAACTTTAATCAAATTATACATACAAAAGAACGCCCAGAAAAAGATACCGTGTGTACTTAGATTGGATCGATACTTATGTGGCTATGTAGGCTTAATAAGAATTTTCAAAGATAGAATGTTTTTTATGTATATCAAATGGTTTGTAGCGGCCGCGACTTAAGAACCGATGATGTTCCTTTAAACTCCTAATCTGTCAATTATTCATTAGTACAGTCATCGCAGGGAGCAAAGGGTTGTCATTAGGGAAGCAAATCAGAACGATGCGAGTGGTACATTTTGATATTTTAGTTTTATTTTTTCAATTTGCAAAATGGGTTTATATAGTAAAACATTATTCTATCTAATATACAAATTATAACAAAAAACATCAAATTCAATGAAATGATCATCCATTTTAATATAATTTAATTAATGTAAGAAAAATTACAATTCCGATACTTTATGTACAAACAAATATTCAAATGACATGCGTCCATAAGTTATCCCTGACATTTTAAATAATTATTAAATACCGATATGCAGAGTTATTCGTATCGTTTTGAGTTCTTAAAACATTTAAATTTTATAATTTCATTTCAGATGCAAAAATAAGACGCTTTTCAGTTTATTAAAAAAACATAACCTAAATATTATTGATTAACATATTGTACAAAGCTGTGATTGTATATACTCGTATGTGTCCTCGACGTTTTATTTTAAAGGTCAAAATTAATGTATTTGACATCTTACATGTCGTAATATGAATGTATAACTTACTTTTAAAATAACGGAGTTAGTAACGGAGTAGCCAATTTTTTACTAAATATTTTAATAATCACTTAGGAGATATGTATATAGAAGAGATTACGTACCCTTTAAAACGATGACCAAAAAGCATTCTCTTTGCTTGTAATTAATTTATTAAGTTCATAATGATTTTTTTTCAGTGAAAGTGAAAACTTAAATGACAAATTTTGTCATTAATAAAATTCATCTTTTCCTTTTTTTCCTACCTATGGTGATAGCCTTGAGAGGCTATTTCAGCTTCGCCCTAACATGTAGGTGAGCTCACGGGGCTCAAACCGGAGTGGTGCTAACACTGGCCCTAGCAAAAGCAGTGCTTCTCAGAAGCTACCACAGGATCGGAAACGCGACCCACTGAGAAAAAAATTCATGCAACATGTACAATCTATCAGTTTTTCCTTTGTTATATAAAGTTTCGTAACCATTGTACGGTAAAATGAAAAGGTTTTTAAAATAATTATATTCTACATAACTAAGAAATTTATACATAGAAATTTCTGAATTTTCTTATCTGAATCCATAGCCAGCTGCTTCTAAAGACGTAAAATTGATAAGTCTACCGCGTTAGGTAGTTTATGTGATATAGTATGATATGGTATACCTTTTCAATTACCTCTGTTACCAGTGTTATCTATGGGTTGCATACTGCTTAGAGTTAAACAAAAACACATCCATAACATTAATTGTTTGCTTTCGAATCCAATTGTAGCCTTTACTATGTTTGTCGTTCGGCGCGATCCGCCCTTTTTCGTTCTAAATAAAATGATGTAGCTTTATTTACAAACGGAAATTAATATATATATATATTTTTATTTTATTAATTTCACTTCTAAATCTATATATATATATATAAATGAATTGCTGTTCGTTAGTCTCGCTAAAACTCGAGAACGGCTGGACCGATTTGGCCAATTTTGGTCTTGAATTATTTGTGGAAGTCCAGAGAAGGTTTAAAAGTTAAATAAATATGAAAATGATCGGAATTAACTAAAAATAACAATTTTGTTTTTCCTTTGATGTATCTCCCGTCGGACGGATTCCTTTTGTTTGTTTTAAGTTTATTTTATACAATAGTTTAGGTCTTTTATTTATCGATTGAGGTACTATGAAGTTTGCTGGGTCAGCTAGTAATAACTAAATTTATTAATATTTCGCACTGCGTATTACTGAAATTATATTTCATACTAAAAAAAATCATCGGTAGGCTATGAGATCAATGTTATATTTAATGTATCGACTGACGAGATCACGATGTGGTTTAATTTGGCTTTTAGATCCTATAGAAGCAAATAAGCGAATGAAACGCGATGTAATAACCAATAGTGAGAGGATTTTTTTTAAATTTCGCTGCTATTTAAAGTATCATTAAAGTTGCTTTTACTACGTTTGTTTTTTGCTGTTTTAAACAGTTCCCGATTTTCGCACGAATGCTTCGGTGCAGAACTAGACAGAACGGTGCTACTTAACTATTCCGACTTTTATACTATACGACAAGCAGAAACTGTTTTATATTTCATTACTTCGCGGACCTTGCTGCGGGGCACATGATTATCTATTTCAGTTTAGAATATCGACACGACCGCGATTATCATATGTATCGGTCCCGAATAAAAAATAAACGGCGAAATATGTCATTCGGGAATAAATAATTTAGCAAGGAGAATGATATTAAGAATAGGGTCCTAGTAAACTAGTCCTAGTAAACTTGATCGGTGTCGCTCAGATACTTTAATGAATGTCCATATCAACTATTATCAGAGTTGGGCCATTTGATTACAAATATATATGCAATTGCTGCATATTTTACATATTCTACAAAACGCAAGATTTCACAGATTAACACACATAAATTTCAAGTTTTACTATTCAATATCATTGCTTTTTTGGGCCGGGCCTTAGATCGACTAGGTACCTGGCCTCTAAAATTTTGATAATTGCTTCATTTATTTCTCCAAAACAGTACAAAAAATATCTAGTATGCAGGGTTTAATATCTGTTTCATTTATCTGTTCAATATATCTTTATTTTAATTGTGTATCGTAATTTTAATATTGATTCAATTTCGATACAAATAATCTAAACGTAATTAACTCGAAAATACAGCTGAAGTTTTTGGTATTAACAAAAATAGTAAACCTATATTGTCGTAATATTTCAGATTTGTTTTGATAGCTTGCGTAGCGTGGTCAGCGTGTGCACAAGAAGAGGGGGAGGCTCGTCCGGCACAACGGGGCCTCCTGAAACGAGGCCTGCTCACCAAAGGGAAACCGACCACAACAACCACAACATCTGCGCCACAGGTACGGGAATTCTTAACTGCAATCATAAACAAACTAGCCGTACTCGCCCGCTTCGCTGGGCATTTAAAATTAACATTATTATTTATTGTCATTATTATTATGGAGTCCAACACTCATATAAATATTAGCCTATCCATTAAGTACATGTATTTTCTACATGGATACCAAGTTTTAAGTCAATCGGATGCACGGTTCAGTAGTTATAACGGAACATCCGTAAAAACCACTGTAGATTTATATATTAGTATAGATTAGTATAGACTAAATTGAGGTGACATTTAAATTGTATGTAGTTCAAAAAATATGTGCGCATTTCTGGTGCAACTTTTTAACTTTATTGTTAGATGGATCACGTCGCGTCAAATCTTTACTTGAGATCATGGACTTCACAACGTGAATCATGTCACTCATTGCGAGACGAAGTCAGATTCAAATAAATTCTAATTTTTTAAGTATACATAAACATGAACGGTTAGATATTTTGATGTTTGCCTTTTAGCTTAAAATATTTGTTCTGTTAAAAACGAAACATAAATGACTACCGCTAATATATGAAACGCAGAGCATTACCAAGTTAGGACGGGACGTTATGCTCACATCAAATCACTTTTTCCTTTCTATCGTGCGACACACGGAAGATGTCTCAACACCGTTCACTCCGCTCAGTATATAAATGTTACATTACGGATGTGACTAGTTCGACAAAAACAAAACAAAAAAAATATCTTCAATATCATTACGTAACAATGAAGATAATCGTCTTCACGATTCAATTCAACAAAGGTGGAAGTTCAAATATGTAACCTGTCACAGTCAATTAAGACCCGTCATTTGCAATCGAATTATAAATTGGAAAGCGTGTTGTTTCGCTGCTTTTGTTGTTGACGAATGAGAATATATTTGAATAACAATGTAGGAAATGTTGAATAACAGTCGGTTAGCGTCGCATATTCGATGCGTCATGTATCGCCAGCTGAGTCGCAGCTTGCAGAGGACTTTCAAAAAAGAAGTCGCCGTGGTCTCGTAGTGCGGGACATATCTGGCGATGACGTCAACCTGTTGTTTCCATAGACAGTTACATCTGAATTACGTAAAGATTGGATCCATCTGGTTCAAGGCGAGTGGGCCGTGGGATGTTATAGTTCACCTTCGAACGACCTTACAAAACTGCCCTTTCAATAAAGAAATTTCCATGTGCTCTTGGGACCGCAGATGACCTTTCACAGTACACATATTTGTATCATATCATTATTTTATTTATGTACACACAAAAAAGAAGACATAGTACAGAGTAATAGGAAAATTATGTACAAAGGCACTGCTTATTTCTTTAAGAAATCTCTTCCAGCAGACCTGCGAAATGATTATGAGAATAATAATTAAAATGTAAAATATAATAATAATGAGTATGTGTAGAACAGCTAAAATAACAAATAAAACATGAGAATTATAGTAATGCACATACACATAGCAATTATGTACGTATGTATGTACTCAAACTTCGTATAACCTATTTTCAAGAAGAATTATTTCTGGAAACCAAAATGTGGATACGTTGATTGTATAAACACGCAATAGCAGGATAAAATTCAACCAACGTAGTACGACGTCATATAATAAACGTAAAATAAGCGTTGTTTGTAGAGAATGTCCACAGCCTTGATGCGTAAGTATTAATTAAGGTGGCGATTGTAATTCTAGGATATTTGTGGCATATTGATTTCGTTCTGTAGTAGGTAATTGCGACAACAACCGCGTACAGTTTTAAATAAAACATAATCGGGTTTGTTATTTCGTTACATCATCGATTATTAGGATTGATGACGGACCAAAATACTTTAAACGAGAATGCTTCCAGTAGAAAAATGATGTTTTCAAATGTAGCTCTCATAATTACTCTGTGTGTTCAGTGCGAGTACTTTAACGTTGTCGATAGCGTAAAAGTTAACTCAAGTTTGTAGGGAGTTGGAACGTTTACCTGCATTTGCCGCTAGGGGCGCTGTTCCAATTGCGAACAAATTTTAGTTAACTTTTACGCTATCGAGAACATTCAAAAAACTCGCACTAAGCACACTCTGGTTTTAACGAAACGTTTTATTTGCACCCTATAAACTACAATATGGATGGCACCGAAAACTTTTATTAAAATGTAGCCTTTTCGAATACATACCAAAGCAATACTACTGATACTACAATTGATACTACTATAATTTTATAGTTTTTCAAAAATGCTAGCTATAGGTAGAAACCCTTACGTATTACTTGTATGTATTTAGGTAAACAGATTAAATGATATGTGTATGGTTTTTGTGGACTCTTCAAGTCCTTTAGTAGGGAATTGCTCTCTCTTTACATTCAAATATAACTCTTTAATTGACACCTACCTTTTCGTACCATAACCATAGAGGAACTGGACTTGTATAAGGGCGTCTTATAACCCCGCACGCGTAGATACCACCACCCTGCCTATTTCTGCACGAAGCAGTAATGTTTTTCTTTTCGAAAGCTGGAGTAGCCGTTGTATTGTAAAACTGAGATTTGGTAATATATATAATAAGTATTTTTTTTTTTATTGCTTTGGTAGGTGGACGAGCTCACAGCCCACCTTGTGTTAAGTGGTTACTGGAGCCCATAGACTTCTACAACGTAAATGCGCCACCCATCTTGTATCAATTGTATATTGGTATTTATAGGTATATGTAAGTATTGGTATTTACAGGCCCTAAAAACCAGGATGACCGTGATCTCGTTTGATTAAAACGTTGACCCTAGCAGAATTCTGTATTCTAAATTAACTTTTTACCATTATTATTATTATTACTATTTTTTTTTATTGCTTAGTTGGCTGAACGAGCTCACAGCCCATCTGGTGTTAAGTGGTTACTCGAGCCCTTAAACATCTACAACGTAAATGCGCCACCCATCTTGAGATATAAGTTCTAAGGTCTCAAGTATAGTTACAACGGCTGCCCCACCCTTCAAACCGAAACGCATTACTGCTTTACGGCAGAAAATAATGTCCGACCATGTAAAACCATGTCCGAAAATCTTTGAATTTCCAGGAATACGCAGAGTATGAAGACGAAGGTGATTATCCTGCCGATGGTGAGGCCGCAGAGCCCTCTACCGAAGCAGCGCCTCCGTCTTCCACTGAAGGCAAGAAACTTATAGCCGGTGGAGTAAGACCGTTCAGGAGTAACAATGATTTACTGGAAATCCTAAAGAAAAAGCGGGCACAAGCTGCTGAAGGTAAATAAATGAATACCGACTGCTGACATACATACATTTGTGTTTCATAATTTCATTTTCATAACTTACGAGTATTTATTATATTATTATTTCTACGCCGTATATTATTTTCAATGAATAATTGAATAATGAGTTAATTTTTTCATGTTATTGTAAAACTTTAAGCTACTTTAAAAACATTAAAAATTAACCAGGCCATTGTTTGAATAGTATACATATTAATGAGGTGCAGATTTGAGGTATCTGTTGTAATAGGATAAAATCTACCTTACGGTACAATATACGCATTTAGATTTACAAAATCTAGCAACAGAAAATTGAGTTTATTATATGAATTTTCACTGGTGGTAGGACGTTTTGTGAGTTCGCATCGATAAGTACCACAACCCTTCCGGTTCCTGCAGTGAAGCAGTAATGCGTTTCGATTTGAAGGGTGGGGCAGCCGTTGTAGTGTAAAAACTGAGACATTGGAGCTCATGTCCCAAGGTGAATGGTGACATTTACTTTATTGATGCCTATGAAGAAGCCCATACATAGTGGTTACCGAAGGGTAACCACTATGATCTATGAGATCACACAGGTGATCTATGAGATCGTCCACCCAAATAAGTAAAAAAAGAAATTAATGAAGTAAATTCGCACTTATAGGTTCAGCAAAACATTCGTGATATTTTTAAGCAATTGAGTTCTTTTTTTATTGTAGCGTCATGTTAAAAATCTTACGGAAATATTATACGTATTGTTACGTTTGCAGCCAAATCTCGCGGTTCAACAGTAACAGAATCCGCGGCTCCTTCCGATGCTGGTGGCGACGCTGCCAAATCGAATTACAGTGGTAAATACGAATTGAATATTACTTAAATATAAAACGGCAACAAAAGCGACCTTATAAAAAAAAGTTTACCGTCACTCCCGATTACAGGTTTACATTTTTATTTCATTTACGTGTTCGGTTTATTTGTTTGAGAATTATGATTCATATGAGTGGGCATTTAAAACTCTTTGTCTAAACGATTTATAAAAGACTTCAAGGTTAAGAACATTTCTGCAACTAAAAATCGAGTCAGATAGATAGCCTTGATAATCGATTATAGGACACGGCCTTTTCGTGCACCCTTATAGCACTAGCCGCGTGTTCTCTATTTTCCTAAATTAGTTTATCTGTTCCTCCTAATTCATATCTTGAAGCGTGGTAGTAAAGATTTTTGTTAATGCGCAGTACCTGATAGTACTGCCATCCTGTCGTTGTCTGCGATTATAACATCAAAAGAAATAAATAAAATCTTTTGTACAACCTTGAATAACATTGTCAAAAATAGTCTCGTCCCATAAATACTTGGAAGTGTACCTATCATGAAATTTAAATTGTCCATTCATTTCTTAATTCGAAACTCATTCAATTTGTACGAAAGTGTTTTTGTTTAACTTTAATTTTCCTACTTTAGCATTATAATAGACAGCGGGTTCCGGTTTTATTTGTTTATGCCGCAGCACATTTAAAATTTCTTCGATCTTTAGTTCATTTTCATTTGAAAATATCTATAATGACAAATAAAAATAAAAAATTTAACTAGTCTTTTAAGACATTTTATTCTATTTTAATGTCCCACTTAAATTTTCGTTTAACTCGTTGATTAATAATTGGAACGATAATAATTTCGTGATAGGTAAGAAACGTGCCAACACACCAGCCGCTGCCGGCGAAGATACTCCTGCCCCCGCACCGAAACCTTCCAGAGGAAGATTCAACAGACGTAAGAAATTTCATTCTGCCACACACAAAGAGTTTGATTTTATTTCTGAGACGTAGTCTTTGCAAATCTAGTGTTACTTAGTCGAAGCTTATTAACTGTTTAGTAATTGTAAAATAGTGCAAAAACAAATCACAAATGATGATGGTTAAAGTCGTCGTGGCCTAACGGATAAGACGTCCGGTGCAATTGTGATGAGCGATGCACCGGTGTTCGAATCTGAGGCGGGTACCAATTTTTCTAATGAAATACGTACTCAACAAATGATCACGATTGATTTCCACGGTGAAGGAATAACATCGTGTAATAAAAATAAAAACCCGCAAAATTATAATTTGCCTAATTACTGGTGGTAGGACCTCTTGTGATTCCGCGCGGGTGGGTACCACCACCCCGCCTATGTCTGCCGTGAAGCAGTAATGCGTTTCGGTTTGAAGAGTGGGGCAGCCGTTGTAACTATACTTGAAATCTTAGAACTTATATCTCAAGGTGGGTGGCGCATTTACGTTGTGAATGTCTATGGGCTCCAGTAACCACTTAATACAAGGTGGCTTAGAGCTCATCCACCCATCTAAGGAATAAAAAAAAAAAGAAAAAAAAATAGCCGAACATGTCGTCGCTTTGTTTATATTATAATGACACTTAAACTTACTTCTCTCATACTAATATGTGAGTTAGTAGGCCAGAGAATTGTTGCGCCAAATACATGAAGTCAGCGTCGGAACGGTACTTCGATAAGTCTATGCGTCATGATAATCGCCTTATCGTTGCCGCCGCTGACTACTCCCCGAATCCTGATCATGCAGGAGCCAGTCACCGTCGACGCCCCAGACACGTCCTTACGGATCCATCAGATCCAATAACCTTTGCATTAGAATGTAAAAGAAGTTTCCATACTTTTTCTATGCATGACCGAATCTGCATAAGTTTAGTTTTCTGTGCTATTGCTGTTGACATAAGCTCCCTATGAAATGTGTGTTTTTTATTTACAACGTCTCATTTGGATAATAAAATTAGATAGCAAGAATTGTAAGGAACAATGTGTGACAATTCTTTTCGGATTCTAGCATCATCAAGAGCCGTGGAACCTGAAGCCGAAGAACAGAACGAGTCCGTTCAACCAGCACGGTCCAACAGGTTCTCCCGACGAGGAAACTATTAAAAATGCTATAACTCTCTAACCACCCCCATTTCACCTCATAACATTCATTCAATCACCAATAAGCCATTACTGATCTGTGACTGTAATCACAGGACATTTCAAAATTATCACACTAATGGGAAGCTTAAAAAGGTTGTTTCTGTTTGTGATTATCAGTGAACATAAAAAAAAAAACAATAAATAGTTATATGATCTACTTTATCTAGACAAATAAGCAAGGTTTGTACACTTTGTAAATTATGTGTAAGTATTTTTTAAATAAAACAAACGATATTTTTTTTGTGTTTTTATTATTTTTTCAAGCACTACAAAAGCGATAATAGAAATTAAATCTAGAATGGTTACATAAATGAAATAGTAAAATATTAAACATTGGCTCCCATGTGTTGTTGGTTTTGATAAATTGACGAATTTAATTTTTATGGAGGGGGGTGTTAAAAATTTAAGTCGACAATTTATAGCTTACGAGTCGTGATAAATCACCACCACATTCGAGTGAGTAACAACTTATGAGAAACCATGTTTACTACTTTACTACGAACCACAAAAGTAAAGAAAAAATTAAAAATTCTCGATAAATGAAAAAAATAAGTAAATGTAAAAAAAAGGCGGCACACCTGGCCAAAAAACCGTGTAAATCTGTACCAACGAATATTCCACTCAATGTCCCGATAGTTAAACACTCACAGTACAGGTTTTCACAATTTTTGTAACACTAAAGTAAAAAATAAACATGTTATTCTAAAAAAATAAGAAATAAAGGCGTTAAGACACGCAAGACATAAGGCACCAAAAAATTTGCTGTTCATTCCAAATTAATTGGTACTTCATGTTTTTTTTTTGTTTTTTTTTTTGTTTTTTTTTTTTTTTTTTTTTTTTGTTTTTTACAAAAAAGCACTACAAAAGCAAAAATATAAAAAAATGGTATAAAATACCAAAAATACAAAAAAAGTACGGTATACGTTCCACGTGAAGTATACGATTCACGTTTGATTAAAAATAAAAGGAATAGCAAAAAATGTTAGGAAAAGCAAAAACGGATAGTTAAAACATACGGTTAGAAAAAAAGGTTTACAAAATTATTATTACTAAAAAAAAAGCATAACATTTCATTCCGTGAGTTAGGGCAAGCATATCAAAGGAACGAAAAATAGCAAAAAACTAGAAACTAATAAAGGGACCGAGTACGTTCGTAATAAAACCTAATAAAAACGTTCCACAAAAAAATAGAAACGGGGGAAATTCATTTCCACGTTCAAAACTTACTAACTAATGTACTTAACACTTTATAGTATTACACCTTTTGGAGTGTCCGTATTTGTTATTCTATTTACCTCATCGAATCATAGTTCTTATTCTAAATTGTACGATGCCTTAACTAATTCTATAAAATGGTGCACTAAATTAATACACAGCATTGAATGAGCACGAAAATGCCTACTAGATTAGAATGAGTTAATGCATAGCGAACGGGAGATATTAGATGGAAAATAAAGCCTGAATTATTTTCGCACGAGTGTTTTCCAGACTGTAAAGAAAAAGTCGCATCGAAAATAAGCCAGGGAAGCATCTCTATTTTGCATACGTAATACCTCAACCTGTTGAATGCATCAAAGCATCTAATCATCCACAGACAGCATCTTAGCACAGTGCTATCTTAACTAGCATAAGTCAGACGCTCATTTAAGCATGACACACGCGGCTCTGCAATGTCATTTGAGCAACATTGCTCACTTAAATCTAGTATGAACAATATTTAATGTTCTCTGTCAAGTTACGTGAGTGTTACTAACATTAAAAAAAAAACTTAGACAACTAAAAATGCAATAGGGTAGGAACTTATCAAACTAACTTATCTACTAAACACATTCACACATCAAACGAACACCTATATTCACTTCTTAGGTGCGCGAAGTAAAACGTGTACATTTAATAAAATCAATATACTAATTGATCATTAAATATGTTTCGATAAATCAGGACCGAAGATTTAATGAAACCATTATTAAAGTGCTATCTCAAATAATATTAATATGAATAAATTTTACTTCAAAAAAACTCCGCCGTAAATATGAAAAATAAAGTAATAAAAAAGACACAAAAGTAATTATAAAAAAAATGCTAAGGCAAAAAATTAATGAAAGAAAAAAGAGAAAAAAAAAACCGTTAAAACGTAGGTTTAACGTTCACTTGTTCAAGACACGGGTGACTTCGGCCAGCAGAGTCGGGAATGTTCCCGGCTTCACCAGGTTCACGAGCTGCTCAGCAATCTCCTGGCCAACTCTCACCTGAGCTTCCTTAGTAGAGGCCCCTGAAAAACACTTCACAGTAAATCTCAAATACTTTGTCTTTTTTTTCCTACCTAATCTGATAGCCTTGAGAGGCTATATCAGCGTCGCCTTAACTAGTAGGTGAGCTCACGGGGCTCAAACCTGATGACGTTGCTAACACGAACCCAAGCAAGGACCGAGCTTCGCAGAATCTACCACCGGATCGGAAACGCGACCTACTCAGAAGATCCGGCGAGAAACTTAGTGGGCTGTGTCTGAGAGTTAATTTACTCGTCGAGCCCTTCGTCGCAAGCGACGGGTTCGACGAGAACGGTGACCGGTGCTTGAGGTACTTAAAAGGTACTTAATAAATGTTCACGATTGTCTTCTACGGTGAAGGAATAACATCGTATAATAAAAATCAAACCCGCAAAATTATAATTTGCGTAATTACTGATGATAGGACCTCCTTGAGTCTTAATCCTCAGTGCGTGGGTCGTGACACAAAAAAGAATTAGATGCGTTAGTAAAATACTACATACTACAGATATGTAGTTTGTATCTATTTACTGGTGGTAGGACCTCTTGGGAGTCCGCACGGGTAGGTACCACCAACCCGCCTATTTCCGCCGTGAAGCAGCAATGCGTTTCGGTTCGAAGGGTGGGGTAGCCATTGTAACTATACTTGAGACCTTAGAACTTGTATCTCGAGGTGGGTGGCGCATTTACGTTGTAGATGTATATGGGCTCCAGTAACCACTTAACACCAGGTCGGCTATGAGCTGGTCCATTCATCTAAGTAATAAAAAAAAATTAAACTTATTCTATTTGTTAATTAGATTTTCTATAAAAGCGTATTTTGTTAGTTTTTTTTAAACTATTGTTTATTTCTAATTTTTTAGTTTAATATAAATTTTCTCAATATATTTTTTTATATTGAATTGTCATCGGTCCGGTCCGATCGGTTAATCCGACGTTTTGAAGGGACTCAAAATCATGTTCAAAGATTCCGTTACATACTAACATACATATGTCTGAAGCTAATAAAAGCGTATTAAAAAGAACAGTAGGTACCCAGATGTGGAGTGGCAATTACAGCAGGCTGCTGAATAATCTCCAAAGTGACAGGATCGGTCGGCGGCTCCTGCTCGAACACGTCCAGAGCAGCCCCGCCCACCTGTCGATTAATTGAATAAACTAGTCTGTACGGACTGACTAACAAACAATGTTTTCAGTTAGGAAAACATAATAAGGAAAAGGTCACTTAGGTAATTTTTCAGGAGAAACGTTGAAAAATTCAACATCTACATAGTATAAAAAACAAAGTCGCTTTCTCTGTCCCTATATCCCTATGTATGCCTAAATTTTTAAAACTACGCAACGGATTTTGATGCGGTTTTTTTAATAGATAGAGTGATTGAAGAGGAAGGTTTATATATATAATAACATCCATTAAATAGTAGAGAAATCAATAATAAATTAAAGTTTCCGAAGCGAAGCGAGGGCGGGTCCCTAGTATTATATAATTATTATATAGTTCTGCTAGGCTATAGAAATTGAATGAACTACAAACTTCATAAGTAAAAGCAAACATCTCTCTCGTCTCAATTATAACGATTTAAAAATGTATTTTGTCATATCAGGTCAGTGTTAACAACAAATTGCATAAGTGGCTTTATAGCAGCGTATGTGCGATATGTCTTTATTTATAAACACAATGCCATCTTTCGATGCACACATGCACTGACTAAACCACGAATCTTAAGATTGAGAATAAGACTGGTAAGTCATCACGATCATTGGCACAAGTTTTTTTAAGTTTTTTCTGTGATTTTTGTAATATCCTTTCGTATGCTTTTCTGCGCTTAGAATGTCTATAAAATTCATATGTTAAAATTGATTCCAAAAACATTATGTAAAATAGACAGAGACAAAATATAATTAATATACATTAATGTGTTTCTTGATAAAAATGATCAAACTGCCAAAATAGTAATTCAAAAGTGTTACATTACACTACACTACAAAATTGCTACATTTTATATGACAAAAAAAATTAACACATTTTGACAATGAGATGAAAGTGCAAAGCATATTTTCTTTTAAGAAAAGTGCCTTTTGAACGCGAAAATTATATGCATGTGTTTGAGTTCAAATCTGAATGACTGAAATCTGAATATTGTTAATAGCAATACACCGCAACATATCCGATGTATCTTTTTCAGAATATCTATAGATGGAAACATTTGTCTAGAAGAGATCACTTTTAGCGGTAAGATCGCCCATAGCACAAATTATAACTACCTAGTGATTTATTTTCCATTTACATTATGTTTGGATGTGCAATAAAGGATACTCTCTCTTTCTCTCACACAAAAATCGACGCTAAAACATGCAGCGGAAGTGCCGCAATACAATACCTTGGTTATAATTTAAAAAAAATTAAAGAAGCAACAAATAGCCAACAACCTTTCCAGACTTCAGAGCCTGCAAGAAATCTGTCTCTTGAATAAGCCCGCCTCTACCCACGTTGATGATTTTCACACCTTTCTTGCACTGCTTCAAGACATCGGCATTGATAAAGTCTGAAAAAACGGTATTTAAATATATTAAAAATCACAAGGCAATTTATTATTTTGATAAATTACTGAGCAACACTGCATTATTCGTCTAAATTAAACAGGTAAATAAGTAATAAACTAGATTTAAATATAGAACCAAAATCTAGTGTTACAAAATAAAATACTATTAGAGAAAAAGATACAGTAGATAATGTTGATTCTTTTGTCAAATACGTTATCAAATTGTGATAAGGTCTGTAATAAATCGTGGTAAACACTCAATATAGATATTTATTTCAGAATCACCTTGGCGACATTCCTTCAAGATACAAAGAAATCAATATGACTTTCCTCAAGGACGTTGTTGACGTGTGCTATGCGATAAGAAATCTTAATGGATACATTTTTAATGCGAAATTACACCTCATCGCGGACAGAGTTTGCAGAAATTTTCAATTTGGGAGTTGATAGCTGCAGTCGCATTCATTCTAGAATGCATAACTAAGATTGCCTATAGTCATGGTTAGTAAATAGTCTGACTGATTTCGTGTAAGACCTTTGGTCACCATTCTTCTGTTGTGGCTGATTCCCGTAGTCTCCCTATCATTAGTCTCTATACTTACCCATAAAATTCGTCGCGGACCAGCACCAATTTGTTTGTTCTAACAGAAACGCTGTAACACTTTTATTAATACATTTCGTTTATAGTAAAGTGTCGATTTGATTCAAAATTTCTTTCCTTATAATGTAATTTTTTATATCTGTTGATATGTTTTTCTTTTAATACATGATCATTTCACGTGTAGTTTTATTTAAGTGCTTTGTTTCCTTATAATGCATTTATATATTCTAGAAATCGGGTTTTGTTCAATGAATATATTTTAGTGTTAATATTTAACGTAACTTACTTCGAGTAGACTCAATGAGCGGAGTGTGCAGGGTGATGTAGTCCGCTAGAGGCCAAATGTCCTCCAGCTCCATCTTGGTGCAATGGAACTGGGCGCACTGATCAGCAGACACGAAAGGGTCGAATCCGATGATCTACGGCAATTAAAATGATTTATAAGTGTGAAGTAAATAATTTCAACGCTCACTTTCACGCAAAGCCTTTTGAAATTTACGAATTCGCGGAATGCATATTTTAAATGGTACAAATACTTTTGTGCAATTTATTACGAGTAGAACAGAAATTATAATTACCTAAACAATTTATGTATTCGTTTAAATGAATTTACAGTGACAGATAAATTTAGCTTTTCGTGTGAAATAAAGTAATAAATAAAATAAGTAATAAATAAATAAAATATGTAATACCATTCCCAATTTTATTACAAGATGATCTCATTTAGAAGGAGTTAGGTAAAATTCTTTTTGTAACAGAAAATTTGTGACGAATTTCCTCGATATTAATGTTTTCATCCCATATTTTTGTTTTGGTGGTCTAATATTTTTCAATACCTATGCCCGATTACTGTCACACCAAATGAATTTTGATAATGAAGTAAAACACGTTATTTATCTTTATTGTTGATTATTATTGTCTACCGAGTCAGTTATTCCCAGATTTATAAAGATTAACCTTGAACCAGAGGTCAATTAACTTGATAGACATTAAAATTATTTTTTCGCTCAATGTCAAAATCAGCTTGTTGATAAAAAACAGTGCTCTGTCTTATCTACTTAAATTACAAGTGCGATAAAATAGTATGTAATATGCTTTATGCAACTATCGTTCGCAGTTGGCAACATTATAATTATTTGATTTAAAGTATTAGTATGGCGAGCCAGTGCTTGGAGACAATTGAATCAATTGCAGCGCACGCATGAACATTAAATGTTTGTGGAAAGATCAACGTTAATGCCAGCCCATTTTTCTTTAGATGAAAATATTAAAGGATGTTTAAATAATGTCATTGTTATTTAAAAAAAATACATTTAATTAACTGAATTATTCGAATACAATATGCAAAAAGGACATTTTGATGGTGATGTACAAATGTTTTCAATGAGAGCTTTGAAGAATGAAACTAAATGCGCAATTTGAGCTGTGGTGACTTTTTGAGGTGAAGTAAATCGTGATACAGCCTTCCAATCCTGTAAGCCACGGAATCGGAGAATTCGCGTGTTGACTTAATTTTAAAAACTCAGCAAGCATTGCAGGACGCAGCGAAGCGCAACTTCGTTTCGCGTGACGTCATTTGGGGCCATTATGGTCAATGAGCTAACCGTAAAATATTTACTAAAACAAAACGATGATATGATGCACTGTGATTAGTACTGAAATTTGTAAATTATATTTATTTAGAAGTTACAGACGTTGATTTTAATTGGTTAACATCCCTTATTGAAATCTCATTTTCTGTTACATTAAAAACACGTAGATTTCTTTGTAAAACAGCTGGCTAGATTTCTAGGGAAAAAAAATACTATTTTGAAATTTGGGATCAAGTCAAATTTACAAATGTGTTTTTTCTAGGTAGTGGAAAAAAGAGTACAAAGAATAACTGCCATAAATTCGCAAAACTGCATTTTTTTCTACATCCGTAATCTAAAAATAGCACTTTAGATACAATGTTAGAAAATGGGAGTTTTAGAAATTATCAATATGGCCTACACCGACACGAGGACTTAGAAATGAATTTTTCAGTGTATAAATCAGAAAGCTTGATTCACTACATAAAGTAGCGTGGGAAAATCGGTTTGTAGATAAACTGTTAGTGAAATGGCCAGTAGGCGAAGGTTGAATTCTAGAACGCGGCTAGAATTACAAATACTAGCTAGGACTTTAGAGTCGTTACTTGATACGGCAAAGGAAGGATCGAAATTTACATAATGCAACTCCTAGTTTAGTTTAATGAACAATAACTGGACCCGTGCGTGTCAAGGCATGCTGGTGTAACATTTCATTTCCCTCTAACCTTAAAGTCTCAGGAATTACATATAAAAATACTAGTTTCTATTCGGGTTACCGAAAAGCAAAAGTGAAAACGAAATTTTATTCGTAATTCGTTTTTTTTTTCATTTCAAAGTTTATTGATGTAGATGGTTACATTTTACTGTATTTCAATGCTGTCAACAAAACTGTTGATGTTTTTTTGTGCACTGTCTAGAATTTTGTAACGATTATTTGATGCCAAATTTACATACAATCGGCTAGTTTGAACAAAACAATATCGCTAAACATATGACATAATGAGACATGGTATCGAACCAACCAAAGTAGCTATTCCTATGACATTCGCAAAAAAAATAATGATTCGTTTATTAATATTACATTAATATCAGACAATCACTATTATCACATTCTTGTTCACAAATTTTGGCATATATAATATTCAAAGGATTGTTGGACAATATTGCTAAATGAAACAGAACTACTTGAGCTTAAAACAAGAAAAAAAACCGGTTAATAAAAATTCGTTTTCCTCGACATAAAACCTCATTTTAAAAGGTACCACGAACCCAATACATTTTTTACGTTTTGGATCGACCATAGTTTCAATTTACTTAAATAAGATGCTATACTCTATTTTCAGCTGTAAATCTTAATCATTGGGTTCCGCATCTTGAATTTCAGAGCATCGAAAAAATTATATGAGGTTGATTAAATCACAATATAATATACAACACTATACCTAATTTCTTAAATTAGGAACAAAATAAAACACAGGTATATAAAGTAAAAAAAAAACTTAAAGCAACTCAAAAATACATACGTTCATGCCGAAGGCGTACATCCTAGTGGCCACCTCGCGGCCGACCCTGCCAAGGCCAAGGATGGCGAGGGTCTTGCCAGCGAGCTCGCTGCCAGTGTACAGAGCCCGGTCCCACCTGCCAGCCTTCAGCGCAGTGGAAGCTGGGACCACGTGGCGAGCCAGAACCAACATCAACGTGCAGGTCAGCTCGCACGCGCTCAGCGCATTGGCGCCCGGAGCGCTAAGAAAACAAAGACATAAAAAATTAATTATTTTGCACAAAAATCGTCGTAGCCTAAAGGATAAGACGTCCGGTGCATTCGTGTTGAGCGATGCACCGGTGTTCGAATCCCAGGCGGGTACCAATTTTTCTAATGAAATACGTACTCAACAAATGTTCATGATTGACTTCCACGGTGAAGGAATAACATCGTCTAAAAAAAATCAAACCCGCAAAATTGTAATTTGCGTAATTATTGGTGGCAGGACCTTTTGTGAGTTCACACGGGTAGGTACCACCACCCCGCCTATTTCTGCCGTGAGGCAATAATGCGTTTCGGTTTGAAGGGTGGGGCAGCCGTTGTAACTATACTGAGACCTTAGAACTCCCATTTCAAGGTGGGTGGCGCATTTACGTTGTAGATGTCTATGGGCTCCAGTAACCACTTAACACCAGGTGGGCTGTGAGCTCGTCCGCCCATCTAAGCAATAAAAAAAATGTTATGATGGAACTGAAATAAATGCCTTATGGTGTTCTTGGTTACCGAACACCGTGTATAAAGAAATTTTATTATCGCCCGTCTTGTAATTTGAGGTCGGCCAAGCTACTCTTGATTAACAATTAGCAGCGAGATTCAGTTAGATAAGATCGCGGAGGGCAGGCAATTTCAGAGTCGGGTGGCGGGTTAATATTTCATTTTTTTATTGCATATCTGGGTGGGCGTGTTCACGGCCCGTCTGGTGTTAAGTAGCTCAGAGACATCAACAACGTAAATGCCGCCACCCACCTTCGGTCATGAGTTCTAGTTTTTACTATACCACGGCTGCCCCCCCCCCTCCTCACGCTTCAAACCGAAGCACTTTACTGTTGCGGCAGAAATAGGTAGACAAAAATAACATATGATCAAAGTAATCCCTAGAAACGCGCTTTGGATTAAAGCAGCGATTGTAGATAGTTGTAGTGAAAACAAAAGAATGGAATCGTTTCACACAAGAGCCCCATAATGAAATTAGTCCCTACTATTACTATCGTGTATATTATATTAATTAACTTAATTGCATTTGTCTAACTTATTTGTTAGTGAACTCAAGAAGTAAAGGTCTACTTTAATGATTTTACTCATGGACACAGCTCACTGAGTTTCTCGCCGGATCTTCTCAGTGGGTCGCGATTCCGATCCGGTTATAAATTCAAATTTTAAATTCAATTTTCATTGTTATCAAATTTTCTAAGCTTGAGCTTGTTAGCTCACCTACCCGCTACACGAAGCTGGAATAACCCCTCAAGCTACCAGCGAATAGGTAGAAAAAAAGTATATATAAAAAAATGATGTTTTTGATTTTTGAAGTGAAAAAAATTCTTCAGAATCATTGTGATTTCAAATTCGATGAAACGAAAAAATAAGTCCGTCGTGTTTTTTTTAATACAGCGCCATCTATGATTTTTCAGATTATCATGATTATCAGATTTTTTAATACTAACGTGTGTATGAAACTTCTTGTAGTGAATTTTAATTTAGGATTATACGTGAAGTTAAAATATCAATTTACAGAGGGTGCTACCTCATACTATAAAATATGATTTACAATTATTATTTACTAATGATAAAATTTTACATAATATAAAAAAAATATGTTTTTAATTTTTTGACAATTAACTTACTTGATCACTCCGACGCCCTTTTTACCGGCGGAGTCGACGTCGATGTTGTCCACACCAGCTCCAGCACGACCGACCACCTTCAGCTTCACGCCTGCGTCCAACACCTCTTTGGTCACTTGAGTTGCTGAACGCACAACCAGAGCGTCGTGGTTCTGTGAATTTTAATTTATTCGTTGTAAATTGAAAAATTGAATATTTTTTTATTGCTTTATGCGATGAGCTCACAGCCCACCTGGTGGGCTTACCACCTTAAGTGGTCACTGGTGCCCATAGACATCTACGACGTAAATGCGCCACCCACCTTAAGATATAAGTTCTAAGGTCTCAGTTACAACGGCTGCCCCACCCTTCAAACCGAAACGCATTACTGCTTCACGGCAGAAACAGGCAGGGCGATGGTACCTACCCGCGCGGACTCACAAGAGGTCCTACCACCTACTACCACCATTTACATATCATTATGCAATTTTAACTTTCATTTCAATAAGCCCTGACACCTCAATGTTTCGAGACATTATAGATATAGTGGAACACCAGGTATCATTCTACTCGCGCCGGCTCATATACCCTACCACTATTCTACATATGCGCAAACTCAAATATATTTTTTTGATTTTGCTTAATTAAACACAGGTGCAACCGACAAATAACGCGAACACATGCTTGCGAATAGTCTACGTAGCACCTGTTGCTGTCATTTACATACTACACTGTTATACAACACTGTATTAAAATACTACTTGTATGCAATGAACACACACTTCTTTAATCAAACGAAAAATTAAAGTTAGCAGCAGTAAGTAAAGTTTTTTTGTTTAATTCATAACGATCGGGAAAAATGTTATAACAGAGCAAACATTAATGTTTAAATGCATGCATCGTATCATATCCCGTGTCACCGCGTTGCTTGATACGATTCGGTTAAATGCGATATCTAAAAAACAAAAAGCATCATTAACAAACAAAAAAAAGCTTATTCATTACATAACGAACAACAAGACAAGTGTGTTACGGTCACATTCCAGACGATGACTTCAATGTCAAATTAGCTTTTAAAGAGATAAGGAGCGAAGAGATAAAACGAATACATTGTAATTGACATACATATATGATCCCGGCAAGATATATAAATACATTATAATGCATGTATACGCTCCCGGCAACAATCGTAACAATAAATAAATAATTTGTTTCATCGTTGCAAAAAATTATTCCTAATCGTGCATGTCAAAAGGGCAACAACCTTTTGATATTCAAATGGAAGATAATAAACGATGCACGTACGATAGTCTCATGCTTAGAAGCATCACTAAACAGTAAATACACAGTATTTTTACACACAAATACGTATGTAACAAATAGCGGTGGGATCACTAAGTAAACATTTTTATCTTTGGTTAATGACTGTTACTATTTCTCGATGCTAGATTATTGTAAGTCAATAATATTTACGCCAAGTATGAGGGTTCGTTCTGTACCCGATTAACAATAAACCTATTGGATGCCACACAAAATATGTACGAAATATCGTTACACTTAAACTGCACCGATAATAAAATCGAAACATTTATGAAATAATCTGTATTACTTGCACAATTTGGGTTTTTTTCCCACCTATACCAGTAGCCTCGAAGGGTTATTCTAGATTCACCGAGCTAGGAGGTGAGCTCACGGGGCTCAAACCGGGAGTGTTGCTAACCCTGGCCCTAGCAAGAGCAGTGCTTCGCAGAATCTACCACCGGATCGGAAACGCGACCCACTGAGAAGATCCGGCGAGAAACTCAGTGGGCTGTATCTATAGGTTAATTTATTCTTGGAGCCCTTCGTCGCAAGCGACGGGTTCGGCGAGCATGGTGACCGGACAATTTCGTGAAACTTCACCTCTGAGCGAAGCAGTAGCAAAATATTAATAGATACTTAAAAGGAAAACACGTGTGGCCTTTCTTTGATAAAGAATAATGAACGTAACATTTGAAATTTTTGAATTTCGAAAATTCATGTTTCGTGACATTGTTGTGTCTTCATAAAAGGACTTCCCAAAACAGATGCCTCCCACGTCCCCTACGCCCTTGGGCGTCAGAAAATTATCACATAATTATTTTACATTGCGTGAAACTGAAAGAAAATCTGGTATCGAGGGCGTTGTAATAATCAGGCTTTCGTACAAAACTGGATTGTTGATTTGAAAACAAAATAATCTGTTAGCGATGTATGAATTCATATCTTCAGATATTGGTAGTTTACAGCAAAGAAGACCAAAGAAGAAGTTATACAAGAGGATTTTAAGCTAAGTTGTACCGTCGTTATTTATCACCCGTAACTTCAACAACTAGTAAATATTTTCATCGCCTCAAAAAAATCACTTAACCACCTTACTAACCGCCTTACCAAATCGGTGTTGTGTCTGTCACGAAACAATCATACGCTCCTATTTTAAGGAAAGGACAACCTTCATAGGAGTACAAAAATTAAGCTTCACCCTCGTGTCTCCAGATGGGAGCTGGTATTCGCCTTGTGATGTCAATGAACTTTAGTAGCGACTCATCACCAAGTGCACCATGAGGTCGTTTGCTCATCTACGCCAATAAAATGTAATATCCAACGATATATATACATTAAAACAGAAATAATTATAATGATTTTCATATCTAGTGCTTTTAATGCTTCAAATTTGGTCTTAGGTACTTACTTGTTAGGACATTACATTACACCTGTGTTTGTTTATTGCAAGTACTTAACATATGATAAATATTAATGTACGTTTTATAAAGGCGTATTGTGAAAATAATCACTTATCTATTATCTGTTACCAAGCTAAATGTGCGACTGAAACAATTAGTTTCACATTTTAATCTTGAAACTAAAAATGATATGTGATTTGGTGGTGATATGTGGTAAGAAAAAAGTTATGTCTAAATAAAAATACACAGATAATACAAAGCCTCATTTTGGAGCGAAATCGATTTAAAAAAAAATATGTTGTGATAATAAAAGTTTAAATTTTTATCACTTGTCGACGGAATATTAAAATTATTAAAACTAAAAATATTATTTCGGAGGTAAGAATCAATAATTACCAAACATGTATTCGATTTATGGCCATTAGTAGAAGTCAATATTGTCTTTAATCTAATGATGTGTTTTCGTTTGTGGAAAATTAATATTGAAGTTATCACTTCAGTTATCACAAGCATTTTTGTTAAAACAAATGTACTACAATTATTATTGTTAATTTAAGATACTAAATGGGTACTAATTTATGAATAACTTACTATAATCAAATATTTACTTTATGTTTTTAATAAGCTTACTATATTTTGAAACATAATTTATCAATAAATATAATTAAGATTTTTATAGATTAGCTATGATTAAAAATTATTATTTTTTTATTTTTGTTTTCTGAGATCTTTTCAAGTATTCGTTTATATACTTTTAGAGATGAGACCGTCCTCTGTATACATATGAATGTTCTGATTAATTTGTTTATTTTGGTATACAGTAACGTAACACATTTTTAGTTGTTATAAATTAGACAAACGGGCACAAAATTATTTATAAAATTGTTTTATTGAAACGTATATTAACTAACTATCCATGTATTTATTATATTTTATAGGTTTTTCAACAAACACCAACACAAAAACAAAAACAACAACAATAACAAAACACCAACCAGAACGCTTAATGACAATTATAATTTTTGTATAAAATGTAGAATCTTTAGTTAGTTCGTAGTCTATTTTAGCTTCAAATTACGTAATGATATTGCGTTAAGTCGAGTTTTATATTAAGTTAAGCTAAATGCTTTTGCAATTTTTTAAATAAGAATTATTAGATACCTACTGAGTGTTCATAGGTCGCGAGTCGACTGCGCTTGTACTAGACGCGTACGTGGATTTTCTCAATGCCATTCGCTCAAAGCACGACGCAATAACGACTGTACTCGTATATGGTTGGCGCTTCAAAGTTTATCAAACAAACATGAGCGCTATGAAATGTCCTTCTTCTAACGAGGCTTGTGTAGAGTATTTCTGCAGTGAAGCAGTAATGCGTTTCGGTTTGAAGGGTGGGGCAGCCGTTGTAACTATACTTGAGACCTTAGAACTTATATCTCAAGGTGGGTGGCGCATTTACGTCGTAGATGTCTATGGGCTCCAGTATCCACTTAACACCAGGTGGGCTGTCAGCTCGTCCAACCACCTAGCAATAAAAAAAAAGTATTAAGCGGTAGGCAGCGGCTTGGCTCTGCTCCTGGCATTGCTGAAGTCCATGGGCGACGGTAATCACTCACCATTAGGTGGGCCGTATGGCTAGTCTGCCTACAAGGGCAATAATAAAAAAGAAAAACATGACAATGACTGCGACAGTTAACTAATTTCACATAATTAATTTATTTATTATTAAAAAAAAAACTAATAGATATCGTTTAATATAACAGCATAACAGTACCAATTAATACATTATCTTCACTGTCTATTGATACAAAGGTTTCTCTAAGCTGGCGAACATGAATAAAATAAAATGTTCACGGGGACTTAATATTGGCAAGACCATTGTCTAGTCGAAGTGCAAAGGCGAAATAATCCAATTATAAATAACCAACAATAGAAAATTAATATGGGGCTCTCATTACATCAAAGGTTCATTCATCGTACATTAATGCGATTTTTTATTAAGATTGTAGTGACATGAAGGTCCTATTGTTATTCACAGTGATATAAGGTTTTAATGCTAAATAGAAAGAAAAAAAACAGAAGAATTTTCAATTTTGCTTTCCAAATATGTTTTACTTAAAGCTACACATACCTAATGTGGAGAAGTGTAAACAGGCAGATGAGCTATCAGTTCTTCTGATATTATGTGCCCATAAAGGTCTTGAGGTTGAAGATTTAGTTGTATCATTGTAAGATACTTTTAAAATCGAAACACATTACCGCCTTATTGCAGAGCTAGACAGTATGGTGGACACACTAGGGGTTAACAGTATGCTCTTCCAGTAGTAAAACCATCTGTCAGCAATCGCAGTGTTATTAATAAAGTAACAATCAGTTTTGCAGTTTCAATATTTTTAAAAGCATCACGATAAATCCCGAACTATCCGTTCTGTATACTTTAAAATTAAATTCTGATTTTGCACTGGAGAGGCTCACTGCAAACGGATTTTACGCAAATGTTATCCAGATTAGATTTTACATCTATCATCGCATACCACCCGGTTTTTAAAAACGAATCTGTAAAGTCTAAGCTCTGGTGCAATATTCACTGAAAACTTATTTATTTATATAAAAAAACGTTATGTATGTCCCCATAGACTAAGAAATAGCGAGATCAATTTGATGAAATTTTAAGATTACGTGAGCCAGTTTATTTGTATGTATGATAGCCATGATTTGAAAGTCAAATAAAATATCAGTAAAAGGGCCTGGTATATATTAATTTTATTATAACATTAATATTAATCTCGTTGTGATTATAACAATTAAGAACAAATTTAAAATATTGAACTGAATTGATAATTAACTTTTAAAACTGACAATCGGATCTATAGCATTGAATGGGTCATTGTATAGTTTTGTCTTCAATGCGTTCCTAAACCATCAATCGGATTATGATGAAACTTGATATAGCTGTTGTTGGCACTACAGGGAATGTTCCTGTGTTAAACATCAAAGACCGAAAGTTGACGCGCGACTAATTTAAAAATTCATGATTTTCATATGAAAGGATTCGATTGTGATCATTATTGGCACAATTGTTGTTAACACTCCAAATAAGGTGTCATTAATATACTATAGGTGGCGTCCGAGTACTTTCAAGAAGTCCAGATATATCATAGAGTTAGCAATAGTTAGAGCGAAGCCTGATCGAGTTTCACTAGTATAAGTATGACTACCAATTTACCAATTAGTTTATCTGTTATGTTTTCACCCCCAAACCGCTAAGACAATTTTGAAGAAATTCGATATGAAAATAGTTTTTACATTAAAAAGGAATATAGACTTTCTATCATCCCACTGCTGATCACGGGTGTCTTTCACCCACATGACATATAGAGTAACCCACGCAGACGTATCTGGGGGCGGGAAGCTATTATGGTTTAAAATAAATCGAACTGCTTCCCAGATTTTAACACCTTAATGATTTGCTACAGAAATAGACAGGTTATTCGCACCTCCTTTAACAGACTATTATGGTAATAATAGGAGCTTAATACTAAACTCTACAAAGAGACCAGAAATGATCTAACATTGACTATCGCCCCGAGACATTAGCAACGTTTGTGCATAGCCAGGCCACTGTCTTACTCCACTTGCGTCAAAAAAGAGGAAGAGATCTCATTCCAGCTTAATAAATAAGCGATAAATATGACGTCTGCAAATATATTCATAGGAAGGGATGATTTCCATTGCATGTCGAACTATCACTATTCTTTGAAAATTGGATTAGATTAATTACTATGTAGGTCACTCATCTCATCTATTTGATGGTATATATATATATATATATATTTTAAAATGAATCCAAATTAAACGTTTCTTTATTAGGTATTTTTTTGCCCTTATTGACAGACGAGTATATATAACTGCTTAAGACTAGATTACTCACCTTATCTATTTGATGTTATATATTATTATATATATATAACATCATATATTTTTTATGAAGAAAGTATTACTAGTGGTACGAAGACCTTTGCAGTTTCACCAGTACAGGTGGGCGAGCAAAGGTTCAGCCAGGAGGGATAGGATTTGCTAACAGCTGCTCGAGCGCCTCCGAAAGACGCCTAACAGCTCAAGGACAGCTGCTTCTGAATTGCATCTTCGAATGCATCTGCTACCGTATCGGAATCGCAACTCGCTGAGAAGATCCGGCGAGAAACTCAGCGGGCTGTTTAGGTTAGGTTGCACGTCGAACTCTTTGCCGAGTTCGACGAGTACGGTTACCAAAGTCTCTAAGCCTGCTTCTAGTGTTAAAGCTGAAGGCGTCACATCATTTATTATAATATCGAGGAGCGTAAAGCTTTTTGGTTAAAATGTCGCTTTTGCAACATTACAGGAGAGCAATTTAAAAATTAAAATTAGTAAAACATATTGTAACAAAATATCATTAAAAAAAACTTCTTCACCTATTTCAATGGAGTAAACATAATTGAAGTTCAATTAAAAACATCGAACTGTTGATGCTAATCTATATATAAATATATAAAAATGAATTGCTGTTCGTTAGTCTCGCTGAAACTCGAGAATGGCTGGACCGATTTGGATAATTTTGGTCTTGAATTATTTGTGGAAGTCCAGAGAAGGTTTAAAATATAAATAAATATGAAAATGCTCGGAATTAAATAAAAACAAACAATTTTGCTTTTTCTTTGATGTGTCCCCCGTCGGATGGATTCCTTTTGGTTTTTTTTTTAGTTTATTTTATACAAAAGTTTAGGTCTTTTATTTATCGATTTAGGCACTACGAAGTCTGCCGGGTCAGCTAGTACGAAATAAAACACACCATTTATTACAAAGGTAAATGTCGCTTAAACCAAATAGCCTTTCACTCCTCGATGTATTGTATGCTCCTGGTCTAGAATAATATCGTGTTTAGTCTTACGGGTATCTCCATAAGAAGTTCTTCCTTGGAGATCTTGGCCTTGGTGGTGGTGGCGATTCCGTAAGCGTTGAGGAGTTCGGCACACTTGGCGCCAACCCCGTCGACGATCAAAACCGACTTAATGTCCACGACCATCTTGGTTCTGAAAAAAGTAGAGCTTACATTATATACTTGTGCGTATATGTTTTATAATATATACAATAAAATAAATACTGGCGATTCAAAAATGAATCGAATTTAAACGTTTTTTTTTGTTTCTGTATTTTGAGGTATTTTTTTTATTCCCCTTGTAGACAGACGAACATACAGCCCACCTGATAATGAGTGGTTACCGTCGCCCATGGACGTCAGCTATGCTAAATAGCAATAACAAATTCTCATCGTGCTTTAAGTAATTCACGAAAGACAGTCGCAACGGTTTTTACATATTCAAATTTTCATACAATGTATGTGTTAACATATTTTTTTCCACGAACATGTTCAGAAGCATTTTTTATTACTGTAAATGGGCAGTCAACATACAGCAGGCAGCAGACATACATACATTTTTTTGTATTTTTTTTGTTTTAAAACGTCTCTACCGCCCTTATATTTGGTAAACGTGCCCTTAATAATTATACTCCAATAGTCCGAATTTTGACAAATCCTTTCTAATCCCTACAAAAATTTTAAAACACCTTTTATCTTTCTGACATCCGAAGCATATTTTGATTTCCAAACAGTTTTCAACAAACTACATCTATAATATCATTGGAAGGAATTAGACTTGACTTGATTAGCGAATAAAACGTGTTTTCAAACTACAGAAGCAAATCCGTACTGGTTATGTTATTATATATTTTTATTTTGTTGACAATAAAGCATCACGTAGCTTCAGAAGGAAAATATAATTCATAATAATCTTTAATGATTAGGTCTAAGGAATTTCACAAACATAAATTTTGCCTACTGAGGTCGCATTACGAACATCTGCAGTTTTGCAGCAACTGCAACCGGTTTTTAATAGTTTTATTTATATCTATACAAACATAAAAATAACTTTTTAAAACAAATTCATTTAAAGAATAGAAAATTACACACTTTATTTATTTAATCGGAAAGTTTTTCGATTCAAAACTATAATATGTGTATGAGCGATGTGACAATACGATGGCGATAAAAATGAAAACCCATATTAAATGGCAAGATCGAGATAATGGGATATAACCAACAATTTTATGAATAAAACATAAATAAAAAATTATCCGCAAAAAATTTGACACAAATAACACAAACCTAATATGAAAACGAAAATAAATAAATGCGGTAACGATAAAATTTAAATAGTTAAAATACCAAATGACCGATGTTTAGTTACAATGAATGGGTGGACGCAAAACATGATTTGATTTGATGAAACGGTCATTAGGTCAAATTGACATTCAACAGTCACAGTAATGTACTCACTGGTAGTGCTATCGTTGTTAAGCTTGATGCTGGTGTGCGCCTCCTCCGAGCGTCTGGCAGCGACTGACAGCGACACTCACCGGTTTGAGCGTATGTAGCGAGTCTGATTGCTTGAGCATTGAAGAACAGAGACGAACTAAGTGCACTGTCAGCAAAAATCAATTGGATCAAAAACGATGAGTGCGCATAAATCATTTTTCTTAATAACGGTCACCGTATTAGAGATTGTAATATTATTTTTAAATGATTTATAGATAGTTATTGGACTGACGAATGAAAAGAAAAGAAATGAAAGTTTTTTTTAAATCAAGTTTTTGATGAAGTTAGTTTTTCTTTAATGATAATTGAGTTTTGTTTCTCGATGTATAATGTGTGGATGTCGGGTCAATCGTGAGGCACGCACCTCGATCCGACCCTGAATAAAATCGCCACTTATCTTTAAAGAGCCAATGAACGAAACTTGTCTGTCTGTAGTTTATACAGATATGATACAAGGTTTTCGCATGTGTGCTTCTCGGGCACCATGTTTTTGTGTTTGTGCGTGAACAAAATTACGTCATAAATGATTATTATCTGCATACATTTTCGTAATATTGATAATTTATAAATAATGATAGTCATTTTAACTTTCTGTATTATTGATTGAATCATTTTATTACCAACAAAATAACGTTTGAAGTGTTAACTTCTTGATACGTGATAAGAGACGTGTTGTCATGGCAACCAATCTTCGCTGGCTCAACAGCTTGTAATAATTACGTGAAATAATATAAAGATATTTTAAATCTACTGTGAATGTACTTAAAATAGAATACTTATAAAATTAATATTAACTGTTTCCTTATCCTTTGTGGTAGGCAGCGGCTTGGTTGTGGTAGACAGCGGCTTGGCTGTGGTAGGCAGCGGCTTGGCTGTGGTACGCAGCAGCTTGGTTGTGGTAGGCAGCAGCTTGACTCTGCCCCTGGCATTGCTGAGGTCCATGGGCGACGGTAACCACTCGCCATCAGGTGGGCTGTAAGCTCGTCTGCCTACAAGGGCAAAAAATTTAGAAAACTAAGATAAAATTACAGTCATTAGTATTTAATTTCAATTAAAAGAATAATATGTATAATTCAAATTCGAATTTTGAGCTAGGAACTGAACTTCGCTGTGTCTTGTTGTCGACAAACGAGCTAAGAACACTTTACCTTACAGTAAGTGGTTTTCCCCGAATCCTGATCACGCAGGAGCAAGTCACCGTCGTCGCCCGAGACACGTCCTTACGGATCCATCAGATCCAATAACTCTTGCATTAGATACCTTCAGTTCTAGCACTAGGAACAGGCTGAGGAACCCCGGTAACCGTACTCGTCGAACTCGACAAAGAGGTCGACGCGCAACCTAACCCACGCATCAGCTCGCTGAGTTTCTCGCCGGATCTTCTCAGCAAGTCACGATTCCGATCCGGTAGTAGATTCATTCGCGAAGCAGTTGAGTTGTTAGGTCTCCTTCGGAGGCGCTCGGGCAGTTGTTAGCAAATCCCACCCCTTCTGGCTGAGCCTTTGCTCGCCCACCTGTCCTGGTGAAACTGGAAAGGCCTCCGGGCCAGCAGTAAATCTTCAATCGTAAAAAAAAGTGTTTATCGTCCCTAACGAACGTATTTATCGGAGAAAGTGATTTTAATTCGTAATATAGTAAATATCTTAAGACACCTAGTTCTACAGTATTTGTATGAAAATACACAGGTATATTCGTCATGTCGTGTTTTATTTATTATGGAAGCTATTTTCCACTGTTATAAATTTACCAGTTAATTACCATTGAATACCAGAATATGCGGTTGATCGGCGCTGGACGACGCTACTTTGTTACTTGTGAACTTTTTAATTATTTATTGCTTAGATGGTTGGACGAGCTCACAGTCCACCTTGTATTGAGTGGTTACCGGAGCCCATAGACATCTACAACGTAAATGCCGCCACCCACCTTGAGATATAAGTTCTAAGGTCTCGAGTATAGCTACAACGGCTGTCCCACCCTTCAAATCGAAACGCATTACTGCTTCACGGCAGAAATAGGCGGGGTATTATACCTACCCGTGCGGACTCACAAGAGATCCTACCACCAGTAATTACGCAAAGGAACTCACGAAATAATGGTAAGTTCACAAAAAAAGGAAAACAGCTTACCGAAGTTTTCAAATTTAAATTATTACCGACACTGAAAAGAGTTGGTTGGAATGGTCGGAAATGAACTTGAAGCGTTTATAAAAAAAAACCGCAAATCCAACATTCTTTATCAAATATCCACTACCCTACATTGTGTAAAAGACAAAGATTGCGTCACATCAATGACGCAATCGTGATCTTTGGTGACAATTTTCCAAATTATAATGTTCCACGCTTGTTTTACAATAAATTTATTTTCTATATTTTAGTTGGATTTTCCATAAAAGCGTGTTTTTTAGTTTTGTTTTTAAACTATTATTTATTTTTCATTTATTAGTTTAAATAGCATTATGTATCATAAATTATTCATTAATGTATAATACATTCACAAAAATACAACACTTTTCACTTTGCTAAGTGATAAAAGGAAGGAGCTCAAATGAATTTGGTGTTGGAGGCCCAAAATAAATAACGGGTTTAACTTTTTAAAATATTGAATTGTTATCGATCCTTGATAAGTAAGCCAAATTTCGTGTTAATCAGACGTTTTGAGGGGGGTCCAAATCTAGGTTAAAGATTCTACATATATACATACTTACATTACATACATACGTATGAAGAAGCTAATAAAAGCGTACATATTAAAAATGCATTTTCATCGATCGGTATAAAGGCTTTGTAATGTAAGCGTCGTACTTACGAGTAATATCTGAATAATCAAATTGGTTGTAACTATCTACTAGGGCTGCCACTCAATACTTTTTGCCTGTCACGATGTATATATTTTTCACACACATCATCAAACACTATACAGTGTATTATACGGCACCTTCAAAGTTTAAAGTATCATTTATGAATTTCATGAATTATAAATTATAAGCCTTATAGTAGATTTTATGATTTAGTAGGTTTTATGTTGGTTAATATAAATGACTAGCTGTACCCGTCCGCTTCGCTGGGCATTTAAAATTAACATTATTATTTCTCACCCCCACAAAGATTCTCATCTTTAACGCCCCCGCAACTGGTGTGGGGAGTCCAATACACACATAAATACCTATTACCCTATCCATTAAGTACATGTATTTTCTACATGGATACCAAGTTTCAAGTCAATCGAATGCATGGTTCAGTAGTTATAACGGAACATCCGTAAAAACTACTGTAGATTTATATATTAGTATAGATTAGTGTACACGAATATTAAAGTTTACGTGGTCTACAAACATCACGATGCTCTCTCATAATACCTAAATTCTATAATTTAAATTAATTGAATTAATTGACTACGCAAATGGCTTTTGAAGTTTTTAAAATGATAAATGGTGATCAATGGTAAAAATAGCCAGACGGGTAGCAATATTTTGAAAACAGTTCAAAGCTAAAACGTCATTAGATGTATTACTGTAATCTTTCAAATAACTCTTCGAGTCAGCACATATTTCGGACAATGCAATCTTACTTCAAGAGAAATATAGCATTGCCAAGCCACTATAAAACTAATTCCAAAAAAATATTTGAACGACTGAATTTTTAATACTAGTATCTATGAGATTACAGCAGAACAGTTGACAGCCCTGATGCAATTTATATAAAAATGATTAGGTTGACATTTCGGTAGGAAAGAACATTTGATACGATTCCCACAGCGTAGAGTAATACGATTCCATACTCGTGTATAATGTACCTACTTGTTTGACTGAAATGGTATTTGAAAAAAGCTTATGTAAATCGGTACCTAGGACGAATTTAAATTCATTTAGAGATTGCAGGAAATAAGGTTACTGGTACGACCCTCGGTCACGGAGAGGGGTGATGTAGCGATAACTGTCATTAAATAATATATTATGACAAACACATGAGTTGCGCTAACAATATTTTCAAAATAAATTTGCATACAGTTAAGCTATGAACAACAACATTCGGATATTTTTTTTTATTGCTTAGATGGATGGACGAGTTCACAGTCCACCGGGTGTTAAGTGGTTACTGGAGCCCATGGACATCTACAACGTAAATGCGCCACCCACCTCGAGATATAAGTTCTAAGGTCTCAGTATAGTTACAACGGCTACCCCACCCTTCGAACCGAAACGCATTACTGATTCACGGCGGAAATAGGCGGAGTGGTGATACCTACCCGTGCGGACTCCCAAGAGGTCCTACCACCAGTGATTACGCAAATTATAATTTTGCGGGTTTGGTTTTTATTACACGATGTTATTCCTTCACCGTGGAAGTCAATCGTGAACATTTGATCGCTGACTTTCTCGCCGGATCTTCTCAGTGAGTCAGGATTCCGATCCGGTAGTAGATACATTCGCGAAGCAGCTGCCATTTAACTATTAAGTATCCTTTGGAGGCGCTTCGGTAGCTGTTAGCAAATTCCACACAACCTGATTGAACCCGTGGTTGGACCCGTTGAAGTCATTATGGCCTAAAGGATAAGACGTCCGGTGCATTCGTGTTGAGCGATGCACCGGTGTTCAAACCCCAGGCGGGTACCATTTTTTCTAATAAAATACGTACTCAACAAATGTTCCCGATTGACTTTCACGGTGAAGGAATAACACTGTGTAATAAAAATCAAATAAATATAATTTGCGTAATTACTGGTGGTAGGACCTCTTGTGAGTCCGTGCGGTTATGTACCACCGCCCTGCCTGTTTCTGCCGTGAATCAGTAATGCGTTTCGGCTTGAAGGGTAGGTCAGCCGTTGTAACTATACTGAGATCTTAGAACTTATATCTCAAGGTGGGTGGCGCATTTACGTTGTAGATGTCTATGTGCTCCAGTAACCACTTAACACCAGGTGGACTGTGAGTTCGTTCAAGCATCTAGGCAATAAATAAAATAAAACCGTGCTCGCCACACTGTCCTGGTGAAATAGAAAAGGCCTCCGGGTCACCAGTTATCCTTTCTTCATTCCAAAAGCATTCGGAC